GTTAAAAGAAGGAAATAATATCTGGAAGAGTGTCAAGCATACCTTTCACCCCTTTGCGCCACCCTTTCGAGGACTGAGTACTGATAACGGGAAAATTACTGACCCCAAAGAAATAGTAACTACGTTAGCCGATCATTATGAAAAACATTTTGAAAAACCACACCACGACGGGCAAAACCCAATACATCAAGAAGCAATATCTGTTTTTACGAGTCTTTGTTACCTACCAGCAATACCGCTTGAGCAGATTAAATTCAATGAAGTTCTACGTGAGTGGAAAAATCTCCACCCTAAAAAGTCTATGGATAGTGCCGGCACCTCCGCCTTTATATTAAAAAAACTACCTGCCGAATACCTAGCAATAATAACTGTTCTGTTTAATAAATGCGCCGAAAATGGAACTTTTTTCTCCGCGGGTAAAATAGCTAAAATGATCTGTCTATCTAAAGAAGGGCTTTATCCGACCAAAAACAAATTAAGACCCATCTCTCTCCTCCCAAATCTTGCTAAATGGTTTGAACGGATTATACATCACAGAATACTTAATTGGTGTCACGATCAGAATATTGCTGTAGATGAGCAGAGCGGTTTTACACAAGGTCGAAGACTTCAGACGAGGATACTTTCATTAGTAGAAAATCTAAGGTTAACAGTTGCAGCATGCAATCGGCCAGCTCTTACAATTTTCGTCGACTTTCTATCAGCCTTTGATCGCATGTGGCATCCGGCACTTATAAGAAACCTAAATGAACTTGGAATGCCTCTCGCGCTACTAAAGTGGATCCACTCTTGGCTCCTAAACAGATCTTTTTATTTATCATATGGAGAAGAACAATCTATAACTGTAAAAATGGATGTTGGTGCCCCCCAGGGATCCGTACTAGCTGCAACGCTTTTCAGACTGCATGTACATTTTTTACCATCATTCTTTTTCGATTTAGCTGTTCACATGTTTGCTGACGATCTTGCTTTAGTATTAGTTGGATCATTAGAAAAACGTTTTTCGCAGAACATTCTTGAACTTGAAAAAAGAGCAGAAATAACGATGAAACAATTAGAAAAATTTTCAGAGAATTCCTTATTACCTGTAAATGTGGCTAAAACTAAAGCGTTGCTCGTCCACGGTGTGATTTCTCACCAATTACCAAAAATCACATACAAGCAACAAACACTTGAATATGTTAAATCCTTTAAGTATCTCAGAGTCTATATTTCAACTAAACTTGGTTGGGGAAGATTTATACAAGAACGGTTAAAGAAAATCAGAAAAATCTACAAAGGACTAAGACAAATTCTTCACACAATACCACTTGAGCATATCTCTATCCGTAGACGAATCTTTCTTGCGTACGCACTACCTCACTTTTGTTGGCTCTTCTCATCATGGTTTTATTTTACAGAAAACCAACATCGGACCATCGAACATGTATTTTGCTCAGGTATACGTATAGTATATGCCCTTAGAGGATGGAATGACACAACGACGATGATTCTTAGTCAAGAAAAAAGCCTCCACGACTACATTTTTTCCTATTGGACTCGTCTGAGTGTCCATCTTGAAAAAGCAGCCGATGCTCTCTCCTTTCAACAGTCATGGCAGGCCTATAAAATTGCAACATCTCCTGATAAGTCATGGTACAAGTCTATGGGATTTAGAAAAAACAGTAGATTTCCAGCACGACTGGCTAAAAGAGCGCGTCACACTCTAGTAGATTGGAAAAATTTTGAGGCAGTATATGGAGAACAATTTGAATTTTATAAAAAAAACTCACAGTACCTGAATATCTTCGTTTACAAATACTTCTTGCCACCATAGGAATAAATTAAGATAAATCGATGAAAACCATAGAAGAAGCATAGAAAATAAAATAATTTTCTCATCAAGTTCATTTTGTCCTTTTTTTTTTTAATATTAATCTTGTTATCTTCTAAATGTATGACTGCATTGATTAAGTATGTTACTTTCATCTAAAATGTGAAAATACATAAACCAGAACACCATAAAACTGATATAGGTGAATCCATCTAATCATTATTTTTTTTTTTTTCTTTCCCATTTTTAGTATACGGACAAAGTGAGAAAAAACATCAAATCATTATCAAATGGAGAATACATTTATGCACTTAGTGGCGCTAATTTCTGAAATACTTCGATCACTTTTTCAGAGGGATTACTTAGTATCAAATTGTAGCTTGACAAAAGACAGATCATTCCATGAAGTCAGATTTTCGGGCCTATTTTTTTTCTCGAGAAAATTATTAATTAAGTGGACCAATAGGATACAATGAAACACAAAGGCCAATAACAATAGGGTATGATGTTATGGTTGATATATGCATGCATTCAGAATCAAAAGAGTATCCATTAACAAAAATGAATTTCATCTTTTTAGAGCGTTTTCGATCACTCAATACCGTTGTCTTCCCCATGTCTCCATTCGACTTCTAAAATACAGTAGATAGCAAATCCTTATATAACAGTTTTAGTAATAATCGTGTTGTTTTCTTATCAGTATTTCTAACAGCAGGGTCAACCATTGTGACAAAGTAGCAAGCACTATTGTAATTCTTAGTTGACACTATTGTAAAATTTCGTTTTCATCGTTGACAAACTCGATCCTAACTTCCCGGTTTTGTAATCAATAGTGGTGTATTCGATATCATGACATGACAGTCAAAAATTAGATTCAGTGAAATGCTATTCTGTCTTTCAAATCTTATTCTTTCATACTTGATACACTTTTTCTTTCGGCGACCTATGTCAATGTTTGATACGTGTTTACTTTAGAGACAGTGCACCCATTCACAAGTAGTGTTTTCTTTAGAAAAAATCTTCCTTGATTGTAGTAAACTAGTGTGTATTTTTATTTTATGTTGCTGTTATCTGGTTTATGAAATCTTAGATAAAAGAAGTCTTCATCGGCTACTTCTCTTACTTACTGTCCTATACTCTTCTTTTTTTATTTTTATTATTATTTTTTTTTTCTTTCTCTCTCTTTCACTTTCTCTTGTTGCTTCTTCTATGTATTCTACTTCTTGTGAACCTCATTATGGCACAATAAACTAAATGAAAAAAAAAAACAAACTATAATCTCGAACCAATGAGTGATGAAAGTAAATCTCTATCAAATTTTAGTGTAGTTCTGAGAGAATTTAGATTCACAAACTGTGAGAGATCTTCTAGCTGTTAGACTTTATATAAGAAAAACATATACTGATAAGGCTTCAAATATTCAACTGTTTGAAAAGAATAAATTGTAGACTTTCAAAGTTTACTCGACAATTGGAACAAACTTCTTTTTATCGTCTAATATTCAACATTTTCCATAAATTGTACTCAAAAACTATACCTATTACACATCAAATGATTGAAACCTAGAAAAAAGTAGCTTCTAAAAATTAAACGTTTCTATGTATTTGATAAAAATCAAAAAAAAAACAAGGAAATCTATTCAAACATTGTATTTTAAATGTAATAATAATAATAATAATAGTAATAATAATAATAATAATAATAATAATACTAGTACTGATCGTCAATAAATCTTCGATAATATTTGTCAAAAGCATATTGATATAAATCATAATATTCTTTAAGTAATAATGGCTTGCATTGTTTGTCTATATCTTCATTAGAATATTCCTTATATAAACGTTTTAATTTTTCTTTTTTATTTTCTGATCGATCAGATGATGACCGAGAATGTTTATGTTTCGAAGATAATAATGATGATTGTCTTTTAAATATTAATTCTTTTTCTTGAATAAATTTTGTTCGTTGTGCTTTTCGTTTTTGACGTTCTTGTGATTTTTTTTTAGAAGATGTTATTACTTGTCGATTAGATGGTGGTGAACGATTTCGATGTCGTGATGGTATTGATGACTTTTCTTGTTGTTCGATCAAAGTTGGACATTTGTTTTCGACTTCTGACAATGATTCACTTGTTTGATTTGTTGAATGTGATCCAAAGAATGGATTAATAAGAATTTTAGTCGTATTGGCCATTGGTTCTTGTGGATAGATGAGTGTTGATGAGTGTTGATATGATGTACAATTGGAAATAACTAAAAATAAATAAATGAATGAGAAAGACAATTTTAAAATCCCAATTAATAAATCTACAATTATAATCATTTGTTGAATATTCAGTATGTCCTAATACTGATATCGATCTTGAATCACATTGATAATCACAATAAAATGGTTCGGTTGTCGTAGAAAACATTGATAGCTTATACAAATTCTCATGCATTAGTATTAAATGAGAAGATTCATCAATATATAAATTCGGCACAACAGATGATATATTCATATGAAGATAGAAGAAGAAATTTTGTCTGAAATAAAAACTATTGTCAAAGAAAATAAGAATATCAACAACAACTGATAATATAATTCAAATACTTTAAAAAAGAACCGAACCGAAATTGGGAATTTTTTATTATTCTCTTCGAATGATAGACATATATATATATATATATTTCTGAAATCAATAGATGACGCTGATCAAACGTTTGAATATTTTTAAAAAATCGATTAAATTTTATAATCAGTATAAGTTATAGCTAGACATCGAAAAGATGGCTCCAGTCCCGCCAGAACCGGAAACCAATTTTTTTTTGACAGGATCTGCAATCAAAAACGATTGGTTCCGCTCATCACTAGTTGTATCACAGTATCTACATTTATATATATAATGAATCTGTATTTTTTTTTTCATTTTTGAGAAAAAAGTCTTTATAAATACAATAGAAACCAGTTGAACGGATCATATATTTAGTTAATTGGATAATTGAGAATGGTGTTTCCATGCAATATAAATGTTTAAATCGAAAACTATTTTGTTCACAAAGATATTTATATTGATTTTGAGTACGTTCTTTTGTATCTAATAATATCATCGTGTGAATATCGATTGCATGTGCAGTTTGATTAATGAATTTATTTTGCTCAGCATCAGATAATACAATAAAATCAATAATAAATATGGTTATTTATTGTCCATTAGATGCTGTTCAAATAGCTTTAAGAATATCAATGGTTTGATCATCATTCCAATCATGAACGATATTTTTCATAATATAAGCATCAGTTTATGGAATTGTTTTAGCATCAAACTTATCTCCAACTACACTTTGATATCGATCTTTAAATATGTTTCATTTTTCAAATTCTTTTCCAGTTCCTGTTTCTTGAATAACATTGAATAAATCACAACAAATATCTTGTTTGATTGTGAAATATTTTTCAAGTATAATCGAACATGGATTCATTGTTATTAGTTACTTGTTGAATACTATTACCTTTACTAGAATCTTCACGTGTTAAATTAGGCAAATAATGTGAAACTATTTTGATTACAGGATTTAGTTTCCAACAAATTAAATATCGAGCTCTATTTGAGTGATTCGATGTGAGAAAACGACCATCTTCAGTTAATTCGACACGATTTATTTTTTCTGGTTCAATTGTTTCATTCGATTTTATTTCACGTACATTATCAGCATTGGCCACAGTACGTAAGATTCGATATAGAAATTCACTATCCCATCCCTGTTTTTGTGCCATTTCTTTAGCTGTTTGCGGTGCATCAATAGCTGCAAGATGATCAGCAATACCTGATTCAGCAAATATCCATACAGCCGTTTCAAGTGAACGAATGATAATGGATGAGAAATATTTAGGAAAGCAAATTACCCGATGCTGAGACATAATCAGTTCAAATGCTGCACTCACGAAATGATACGAAGAACGAATCAATCTACCAATGCTGATATAAATAGAGTGAGCCAAATGTGTATCGTCATCGTGAAAGTAAATGTATATTTAACTTATCAAATTATTTTTTATTTTTTACCGGATGCATGTAATAAATCAGGAGTAGATTGCATACTGAAAATAGGTACCTAGAGATGATTAAAAATCAAAGCAATAGCATGTCAAAGATATTAGAAGTATATCGAATCTAAATTTATAAAATAGATTAATAGTTCGTTGACATTTATGAAAAACAACAACCAGTAATGAAATAAACCATTGTTTTTGAAGCTTTTTTGTTTGATTCAGTACAAACCAATAGTGCAAGTGTGACTTCATATGCATCCACCTCGACAGCATGAATCAAAAGTTTAAAAGAATCGAAGAACTATTTATAGACACTTGCGAGTCATTCCAGATCTAGATCCAGGTCGAATTTGAGTCCATATCTAGATTCCATTTCAACCTCGATTCATATGCACCTTCGAGTCTGAATAGAGAAGAGTTGACGTCAGCTTACCCAAGTACAGCGTTTCGACCACGGTATAACTTTAGATTAAATGGTAGAAAGCTCCAGTATAGATCTGTCGAATCTGAATTCACAAAAACGTGGATTCGCAGCTTCCTAACTATCTGTCTTGAGGGTGTTTTAATAGTTTTGAAAGTACTGCTATCGTGAATCATTGTAGAAGATCAATGTTGTCTTTACATTTATCAATTTCTAAAGTTTGTCTATCCCGTTTAAAACTTTTCTGACCATGTTCTCGACCAGTTTTGATTGAATTCTTAGAAAAATAAAATATTAGAAATATCGTTTTCAGTGATGAATTAATTACTGAAGTATTACAATTGATAAATTCGAACATTTATGAATATAAACAGAAGTTTTTCGTGTTTGAAAGTAGTCTAACTACAAATATCTATTAAAATTTGCTGAACCTCAGAGAATACAACTCCAAGGATAAAATCAACTTATATTCTATATTTCTTATTGAATTCTACTTGAGATGGATTAAATTTTATATGATAAGGGATTGTAAAATCAATTGAGAATTGTTTTCTATTTATTATTTTTCGTCAAAATATAATTGTCAATGTGCGTGTTTTTTTTTAATATTTTTTTTCTGGTCGTCAGTTACTTGAAACATGATAACTACACTATTGAGAATTATTAATTATATTATAAACTGGAAATCAACGAAATAACTGGATTAAAAGCATAAACATACTTGATATCTACAAGATTTTATAATACACTTCTTCAAGTCTAATTTCCTATATCATTTACATCTTCATTATAAAGTTAGTGTATTCTTCAATGCTAACAATAAAAATTATGCTTAAGTTTTCCAACCATATCATAAATTTAATTGCATTTGACTTTTTTCTCATTAACAAAAATATTTTATTTTTACAACATATCACTATTCTAATCAATAACAAAGTATTAAATGATTAAAAGAATATTTGGGTACTCAAGCAAGGTAAATTAAAAGTAACATCAATAATTGATAATACAATCATTTTAAATCATAAAAAACACGACCTGTCGGTTTATTTTTATCATTCATAAAAGTAATTACTACTAAGAATAAAGAAAAGAGGCAAATAAATGTTATAAATTTTTAAAATAAATTCATTGCATCGACGTACAAAAAATTAATTTTTTTTTGTCATTTGCCTCAAATACATTCCTTAACAATCCTATTTACTCTATCTCTTTGTATACTTTCGATATAATACTTGTATCTGAGTGCAATATATATACACTCATTATAATATCCATTTCAATATTGTATAAGTTTTTTTCATGCTATCTACTGAATGTCAGTATTGCTACAGCTATGTGTGTTTTTGTTCCTTGTAACTACTCGTCAGTTGTTTGAATTGTTGTTATGGTAATCTTTATAATTTATTGAACATTTTTATCGGATATTGGTCAGGATGAAACACAAAATCGAGACAAATTTAGTTGCATATCATCTATTCACTCGATGACCATATGATACTTGTATTCAAAGTCATTATTTTCTTATAGGTGCCAGCTAGTCTAGTTTTCAAAAGAGATAACTCTAAAAGCTAAACAGTAATTATTCATATAATCAAATGATGAGCATGATAGCTTTTGTTCATTCGTGTTTGATAATAATCAATCTGTCAAAACACCTCTGAGAAAATTATACAACAACAAAAACTGGTGACGAAGTATGTAGAATGAGAAGTTTAATGATCTTGAGTCATAATTTTATTGCCAAAATTTTACGCCCTTTTATTAATGCAAAGTTTTCTATTTAGGATAGATTATGCGCATGCCTAGATGAGATAAAATTTAATGTATTCCAAGATCATTTTAGAAATGTAATCTAAATACGTAATACATAAGTAGTATCCATTACACTTAAAAATACTCATATAAAATTTTTTTCCCGTTAATAGTACTACATTAAAAGCCACTGTAAATTATTCAAGATAAATAATTTTTATTCATGCTGGAATAATAATCTTCTTGTATGGAAAACGTCAAAAAATATCAATTATTTTTTCTTTTGTATATCAAGTGCGTAAAAAACTTATCAATGCTACTACTTCTTCTCTAGAAACTATAAAATTTATGATTTCTTTTCTTATAACATATAATCACTATTTAAGCTAAAATAAACAATGGATGACAATGCGTCGTTTCGCCTTGCAACAGTCGATGTATCAGCAATAAATCGTTATGGAATTTTATTTCTTTTCATTATTGGTACTTTGGGAAATTTATTAAATGTTTATGTCTTTAGTCGACCACGTCTTCGTCATAATACATGTGTTTTATGTTTATTATTATCAAGTTTTCTCAATTTTCTCGTACTTATTTTTGGAGCTTTTATACGATGTTTAATTGGTTTTAATATTGATTTAACATATAATTCATCAATATTTTGTAAAATACATCTTTATATGATATATGTATCTCAATCAGTATCTCTTTGGCTGATTGTATTAGCTTGTAGTGATAGATATCTATCGTCATCATTAAATATTGTTCATCGTCAATGGATAAATCGTCAAAAAACTTCTATTATTATATCGTGTATATTAATATTGACTTCATTAAGTTATATTGAAGTTTTTTATTGTTTTGAAGCATCATTGATAACTAAGAGTATTTGTTCAGCTAAAAGTCAATTATGTTCATATATAGATACAGCTAATTTTTTAATTCTTAATAGTTTTTTACCACCAAGTTTAATGCTAGGTTTTGGTGCCGCTATGCTAATTAATATAAAACAAAGTCATAAACGTATTGAAGATACTCAATCATATCCACGACCAATACATAGAATAAATCGACGTGATAAACAACTTATATCAATGTTATTACTCGAAGTATATGAATGAAAAAGTTTTTTAGGAAAATTGATATTTTTATTTTTAATTTAGGTAGTTTTAATTGTTATAAGTATGGTTCCTATAACTATAATCAAATTTTATCTAACAGCAACAAGTTTAAGAAGAAAATCACAACAACAAATTAATAATGAATATTTTGCTTATCAAATTTTAATTACTGTTTCATATATTAATTCAAGTGGAATGTTTTTTATATATACACTTCGTGGTAAACTTTTTCGTATTGAACTTATTCGACTTTTTGATCGTTTATTATGTTGTTATCAACAAAATCAATTACGTCAACAGATACCGCACATGGCTTGGATTTATCCTATAGAACACTTTTAAAAAATATAAAGCATAACTAATACTCCTTAAGTTTTGTTTCTAGTTTTTTTTTTTTGAACTAAAAAAGTCATTTTTGAATAAAGAGGTGTAAATAACGTTGTAAATTAAAAAGGAACACGATAATTGGTTGGAGTGTTGATAAAAACATGGTTCTTTTTCACTTCTCACACACAACACATCGTGAAGATGAGAGTAATATATGAAAAATGAAAATATACTTTATTGAATGATTATGTATAAATGATCTCACTGATGAATGATAATTGGATGTCGATATTTATCTTTTGAATTTATCAAAATGTTACGAACAAATGAAAACTATATTCATTGTAAAATAGTGAAAACTATAACAGGCAAAAAACTCAAAATAAGGAAAACTTGTATAGATTCTAGTAAATCTACAAAATAATTGCTACTTTCTTTCGTGTAACACTTGCTGCACAACTAGAAGAGTTTTGCAACATATTCCTATTTATACTCATATTTAATGTTTCTTATTCTTGTATATATTATTATTTATTCTCTTGATTTTTACTTTGAGATTTTTAATTTTAACCATTGCAACCGGTTTTATATTACTATTCATTGTTGTATACTCTAATTTAAATGATTAAAACGTATTGTTTAAGTTAACCATTCATATTTAATGAATAGTATGCGTCTATTGAATACTTTAATTAGGTGAAAAATCACCTAGTAACATTAATTTTAACCTATTTTTATTTGTATAGAAATGATTATCTACCGTTAAGAAGTAACAAGGTTATTAATTGAATGACCAATATTGTGTGTCAGTCATTAAACTTATAGACATTTGCTTCAAGTAGATATGAAGAGTAGGAATTAAAATGAAAAAGGTATGCTAAAAAAATTCAGAATGTATTCTTCAAAATGATTATGTTATATTATGAACTTTCATTGTAGAATAGTTGATAATTTTGAAAATACTTCTAGAATTAATATCAAACACATTATATTATGTTACAATGAAGATGATATTGTAGACTCCCGTCTTAGATTATATGGAAAAGGTTGACATAATTTAAACAAACGATATGTGAATAATATTTTAACTGTAGTATAGAACAATAGAAATCGATTCTATAACAAACTTTTATAAGTTTTTCATCCATCGAAAACCAAAGAGTTCGTTATGAACAATCATATAGATAATAGAAAATAATCATCATTTTCTTCTTGAAATGTCTTTCGAGGATACTTTAGTAATAATTTAATAAATAAAAAAGACTAAGGAAGTCTTACTCAATTGTTCATTCCATTCTCTATAATGATTAGTTGCTTTGTGTAAGTCGATTCGCATTTAGTTCCGTATAGGAAACTTGAATGTTCAGCATAAACAGCAACGAATGTTTGACTACATTGTTTCATAACCTAATTAAGATATCTAATGTAGTCATTCAAAGCAAAACCGATTGAAACTAATAGTTGGTAGCATTTTTTTCAAAGGCCAGATTTGTTCTATCAAAAATTATAATGTCGAATGTGTAGAATTTACGACAAAGTTTGTAATATATTCGAAACTTAAAAGAAACATTTTTTTAAAAATTACTATTCTTTTTTTGTCTAATTTGTTACCCTTGTTGGACAATTGAAAAGAATTGATCTTTCGAGTTTTGTCCTTAAAAGAAAACGTCACTCATAAAAAAACCTAAATTAACGGTTTTATAGATGACAAAAAAATCTCTATCGAGTGAGCTCATAAAAGATTTATTAAAGTATGCTTTCGACTCTTCAAAAAATAACAATATTCTATTTTAAATCAATCACACATTACATCCATTTATCAATCCTTCTATTGCTTGAAATCACAACAATTATTCTTATGTTTTTTTTTACATGATAAATATTTTTAAAATAAATACTCTTCTGATATAAATCAATGAAATCCAACTTCAAATATAGTTAAATTCTTGTAAGACAGAAGAAATTTATTAATTACTTAAACAAATCATTGAAATGAAAGAAATAATACTAAACATGCAACATATAAAAATAGTACATCTGGACTATGTCATATATATATATATATTTACAGACATAAATAAATCTACTTTAATTGTTTAATAGAATTGAACATTTAGTCTTAAATCAGGATATAATCGTTTTCACAAAATCGAATCTTATTCGTTCTGTTGATTAAAAAATATAAATTTCATTTGTTATCTTACGCCCTCTTTCGATACAATCTATAATAGGACCCATCGCTTTCTTTTGATAATTTTAAGATTTCTTTGAATTCAACAAGTAATCAGACAACAACTGACAGATTTCAATTTTTCATCTTTTTCTCTATTCAATGTCCATATTAATTAGTCATAAAAATGCACCAATTTGTCTCGTACTGGATCATCAATCATTCGATAATGACATTAACAAAAATCTATCAGTAATTCATTGTCAAATTTCATCAAATCTTTTTTTTTACACGACATTACTCAATGAACTTTCATCATCATCTCAATTTGCCACAAGATTTTATCAAATTCTCATTCAATTGAATAAGAATTCACGTTCATTATTCAACCGAAAATGTCTCAAATATATTTTTAGTTGTATTCGTCATCATCAAAATATTATTTATTTACAAGTTCATAATAAAATTAATCAATATGACGAATGGATTAATCGTTGTTGGTAAGTTTTATTTGATTCTATCATTCTTTAATCGTTTATATAATAGGGCATCTATTCAATTAAATGTCTTAACAAGACGTATTCGTTATGAATCATCATGGGCATGGTTATCAACATTAGGTGGTGGTCATTCATGTCTTGGTGAAATATCTGTACAGCACGTAGGTATAAAAATATTCATATAAATTTCTAATAGATTTATTTATTTTTAATTACTGACAAATTCAGGCAAAAGAAGCTGAAATGATATCAAAAAGTCAAATAGGTTTATCAAATGAAGTTGGTGATCCAAATGCATTAGTTAAATCTTATTTATTCCTTGCATTAAGTTATTTACAACAAAAACGTTTTGATGAAGTTCGAATTATACTTCAGTAAAAACAAAACACAAAAATAAAATCTTTCATTAAAAAAACACGAAAAATTTTATGTTTTATTTTTTAGATTTCAATATCAACGTATTCAACAAAAAGATATCACAGATGAACGTTTACCAATTATGTGTATTGCATTATGGAAGAAAATGAAATATGCCATTAAAAGAGATAGAAAATCAAATTGATAACTTTACTTTTACTAGTTTTTGTGATATTTAATATGATTATCACTTATAAAATAGATTCTTTTATTGTTTTATTTATTATACTTGATATTTGATCTTAATATGGATTACAAGTATCATTCAAATATTGATCTCTTCACTTTTCTCTAATGACAAAAAAGGAGCTATTTTGAGATGTTTTAGTTTTCCACATGATCTAAGACTTTAAGAGAGAGCAATTGATGATAACGAAAGAAAATAACAGTTGCGTGATAAAAGTATAGTAACAGATAGAGAAGGAATCGAGAATATATAGAAATAAAATTCACTTTAAACTAATCTGCTTTTAGACAGATCTAAATGTTTAGAGAACATCTATTCTTTACTGTAGATTATGCGACTATGGGCAAAATGGTAGGTTATGAGAGTATAAATGAATTCTATATTTTAGTCATATCAGAAATGTTACTGGCAACTTCTTTGACTGATAATCGATAATGATGAGTGTTAATATGAAGTTGTTGATCAATCAAGGGTGTCCTATAAGTTCTGAGTATCAACGAAAATTAGTTTATATGTAAATAAAGAGTGATTCCTACCTAACTGTGTCTATATGAGTTTCGAATAGTTAGAACAATGTTTTAAATGACATTATCTCTTTTCTACGTATGAATTTGTATAATTGTGTTACATTACATACAATAAATTCATAGTTCACTAAAACTTGTCGAAGCTCGTATAGATATATTTGAATAGGAATCAGTCTTTATTTACATATAAACTAATTTTCGTTGAGACCTAGAACTTATATGGCGCCCTTTTTTTTATGAGTTGATATTCAATAAATTTTTCCTTATTATTAAAGAGTTCGATCAATTAACTGAAATATATGGCAATGATATAATACGTTAATGTTTTCATTTCTATATATATATATACTGGTAGTTAATACAATTAGACATAGTAACTCATTTATTGTTCATGATACTTTTTCTCGTTCTATCTAACTATTTCGTTTATTACAGAATTGAATTAAAAAAATACGAGTAAACAACAAGAATGAATCTATACTCGACAAGTTTAGCTTAATTTTTGAATATCGATATTTTTCTGATTGAATCAGGTGTTTTTTTTTCTTGTAAAGAAAACAACTAATCATCACATATGGCAAACAAAAACGATTCATTGTTGTTCTTATAACTAGTAACACTATCTTTCTTACATAGTTAATTATATGTTATTAAAAAAACAATAAAGAGAAGACAATGTACAACAAATAATAAACAGAAGAATTTATTTTTTTAAACAAAACAATTCGAATGAATAATGAAAAATATGAATCCGATTAATAAAAAACTGTTTCTATTTATTGATACCGTTCGTATACTATTTGATTTATGTATAATAACTACTGATTCTGTCTTATCCGTTGAATCATCATGAATAATATCATCGAGTTCATCTTCTTCAGTTTCGTTTTCTTTATTATCTTCAACTTTAGCAATAGTTTTTGGTACATATACTTGTACAGCATTTCCAGTATTCAGTTTTTGCCCCGGTGCACCGGATATCAAATTAAAAAGACCGATAAAGAAAATAATCGTAAAAGAATAGAAAATCAATTTAGACATTGAAAATGAAGAAAAAAAAGAGAAGAAAGAAATGATTTGGTTGTTCAGATAAATTTTTTTATTATCTTTTTTTGCGCGAAATATAAAAACGAACATGATTAAATAAATTTTTTCTTCTTAGATAATTATCAATGATTTGGACATATTATAAAGTTTCAATTTTATTCATTCCGACGATTTGTATATTTATCTATTTTTTTATTTATCATTCACTGTTCACTATTTCTTTTTCATTAATATCAATTGGTATGTAGATATTTATATTAAGAAAAAAAAATTTTAAAATAATCTTTTTTAAGGTTTAATCTATGGTGTTATATTAGCAATATATCAATCAAAACCTTATACAATTGTTCATAGCGGAAAATTAAGAAATAAACATAATAATATAGTGAAATGGATTATAGAACAAGTTCAAGTAAATACAACAAATAGATAATTATTATAAACGAATTTCTTTTTAATAGATATCTTCAAAAGAAAATTTAAAAGAAAATATCGTTGAAAAACATGCAACAAATATCGATTTAGAAACAATTATTGATCAAATATGTGATTTACTTTTAGAAGATCTTGTTTTAGTTTGGTATAAAGATGTTTCTTATGAACAAACAACATTTACTCAAACACTTAAGTAATAGTCTTTACCATGACGGATAAAGCTAAATTTGTAACATTATACATAAGAAAAATAATTTTGTTATTATTGATCAATTGATCATATGCTGTTTCATAGAAAAAATCTCAAACCACAAAGATCAAAAATAACCCCTCCTTCCCTTATCATTCCTTTTTTAGTCGCAATATAGTTCATAGAGTAAAAAATTTGTTTATAGATACCAAACACTGTTTGGAGTATCTCTAGGATTTTTAGTTTTCTGTTATGTCTTTCTATTCGAATAAAAACAGAAACCTTGCGAGCACTCTAAAAAATGCATGTTTTTTTCCAACTAGAGCTTTCTTGGTAAACTTTAGCAAAAATCAGCAATATATCATGTTTTAAAATAAAAAGAAGTAATCACCCTAAGAATTTTTCTAGCATTAATAGCAAAAGTTTCAACTCGTTCAAATGTACTCTACTTGAAAAACATGACTAATTCTCCATTCTTTTGTCGAAAAGTCATTTTTCAGGAAAAGTAAAATAATGTAAAAGTTCCAATACCTTTTTGTTAAAAAGAAAATGTTTTATCTCCTCAGATTTTTGGACGTTTGCAGTTTTCTGTTAATTCTAGAGATATGGTTAGTAGATAGAGGACATTTCGACTCGTACACATAGAACAACAAAGAATCAAAAATGAATAATTAGAAAATTTTGAATCGGTTCTTCTATTCTTGAAGATCATTACAATTTGAAAGTGATATGAACAATATATCTTTTCTCACATTTTTTTTCAGTATATAAAAAAAAACAAAATTCATATTAAGCTAATTTCATTAAGTTTCTCTTTTTCATCATGATATTTGTTTCAGTAGATGAAATAAACAAATGAATTTCCTAGATAAATCTACATGTAAGTTAATAGAAGGAGTAAGGGTTTAGAAAATTCAATCACTTCATCTTTTGTCATTACTCAGTAAAATCTACGAATTCAGTGAAATGATGCTTTACGACATTTGCCAGTTAGTTATTTTACATATAATCTGGTTTAAATCTCATCATCTTTAACCGTCCTAATTTATATTATTTATATGAATTAAATTTTTCTTCAGACAAGAAATTCATCTAATTGTATCAAATCTTAAAACACGTTGTGCTCAGATCGATTGGGTTAAAGTTATATCAAATGACCTTGTTGAACAATTTGCTAATCATTATCAACAAGTTCGACGAGCAACGTTTGTATTTTTGAAAGAAAAATTGCTTTATAAATTATTTTTCTATTAATAAAAAAATAGGTTATATCCAGAAGAATATCCATTTCGTTTACATGCTTATTTAGAAACAGATGAAATTGAAAATGATTATTTAAGAATAATGAGTGAAGCATTATTACTTCTTCTTCTACCATCAAGTTATTCATCGACATTAGCTTTAAGACATTTATTACGTGAAATATGTGTTTTTAAAAGTAAATTAGAAATAACTAATGAATAAAAAACTGAAAGAAAAACTGTGTTTTTCTTGTATAGTTTTTAAACCAACCATAAATTTAATATGTGAACCTGATTACTTGAATGAGAATATTTTATACAATATTGAACAATTAAATTTAAATAATGAACAAAAATTACGAAAATTTACATTAGCATCGAGTTATGAGAAGTTTATTAAACTTATCGAAACAAGTAATGATCTTGATAAACTTGAACAATTTTGGTAATAAAATAAATTTAATTTATTTTCTTCATCTAGTCGAAAATTTCTTTGTATTTTCATTAGGAATTGTATTGTAACAGAAATTATGCAAGCAACAGCCATCAGAAATTTATTAAAAGAAGGTGTTATTTCAAATGGTATGTACGTATTATAAAAATATGTGCAGTTAAACTTTTTAGTATTTGAATCAGATCTATATATAGTGAAACCTCTACTAGTGAGTACTTCTTTATTATGAACAGTGAAGATTTTTTTACGGTTCTTCTTGCTATTATAATCTCTCTTATGTGGACACGCATGCAATATATTTTTTTTGACTTCTTTCTATTGTCTATCACCTGTTTCATTTGTACTACAGCTAAGTACATATTCTCTATCAATCCACTATTATATACATGAAGAAAATAATGACATAACAACACGTGTTTTAGTTTGGAAGCAAAAGATGGAATTAATTGTTAGATTAGAATTAAAACCAATTGATATTGATATTAGTTCAAAAGCAAAAAGACGTTGAAAGACTTTTGAAAAAAATCCTTATCTTGTGTTGTAATTGAAAAATCTTTTAATTCAACTGGTTTAGACAAAAATAGATGAACAAAAGAATAAATCACTAGATCTTTATGTAAGACTAATGTCGATATAGATACCCTGGCAACTTTCCTTGAATTTACAGCAAACTCTGCATCGACCCTCTAAACTGAATACCTATATATGATGAAATTTTTCTTTGGACGACTCCACGGTGTTCACATAGAGAGGTTGTACTATATACAAAAGCAAATTAGAATTTCAATACGCCAACTACTCCGAATTTAAGTGAATATTCACCAAATAAATTAAAAAGATTTTTTTTTGAAACTCAAGCATTGTGTAAAATCATGCAATTACTCATATAACCTTAGATTTCACCAAAAGTAAAGCAACGAATAGGAAAATTCATTATGTATTTGAAATTTGTACGCTAAATTCTATTCGTTAAATGAAAAAACTTTTCAATTTAATCATAAATAGAAGGTAGTGTTATAATATAAAATAACAGAATTCCTTACTAAATCCTTGATTCTTCTGAAAGAAACAAAATCTTGTCATCTAAAGTTATTTTCTAGTGAAAAGGTAAATATGTCAAGTGATCATACAAAAAGTACCTCATATCAACTGAGTCCCATCGACATCAGTTTCATAGTTTTTGGCATGAACTGAGAATTGTTCTCGTCTCTGATGTAAAGATAGAATTTGATTATGTTTATTCTATTATGATTTAGATAATCGTCAAGCACGACTTGGAACTAAAGGTGAATTATTAATGAATCGTGATTTAACAAAATACCTTAATCAATTACGACGAGCAAAAATAGTTTGTGAAAGACGTATTACAGCTAATGGTGGTCGAAGTTATTTACTTGTTGATGCAAGTACAAATAAAATTAATTTAGCTAATCGAAAAGTATATTTTTCCTTCTTCTTTTTTCTTATCATATAAAAAAATTTTATTTATAAAATCTTATTAGATACTTTCATTAAATATGATATTAAGTTGTATTACTGGTCGTCATTATTTACATCAATTTTTAGAAACATTTGGTACTCATACATTAGTTAAGTAAGATCTTAGAAGTAGATTGTTTCCTTGTTGAAAATAATATATTCATTGTAGATTTTGGTATGATATTTGGAAATTACGTTCTGGTAAGATAAATTATATTATTTTACATTGATAAAAAAGATATAATAAATATTTTTAGCTCCATCTCATGAACGACATCGTGTAGCAACAACCATTTATAAAACATATATAACACGTTTTGGTAGTGCTGTTGGTGATGAAATTGATAATGCAACGGTAATTCGAATGAAATCATTTCTTGTCGGTGAACAGGTATGAAAAATATACATAGGTTAATTAAAGAACTTTCTTTCTAAAATTCAATTTAAAAATGTAGACCATAATTCCAGATATCTGCTCTTAAAAAATTTTGATATTATTCAAATATCTATAAAGAAAAACAAAAACAAAATAAGACATTGTCTTTTTCTAACATAGGCTGAACCAGATGCATTTTATCATGGTCAAGCTGTTGTTTATCGTGTATTACAACGTGATTATTATGCATCATTTCTTGTGTCTAAACAATATGATGCTTTATGTCGGACATTTGATTCAGCTAATCTACAAGACTGTATATTTTTTTTTGTTAATCTATACTATTATTGATACAGATTTTGTTTTTTTCCGTAATAGTTGATTTAAAGGAACAATTACTTGGTTGGTCAACACCAATTTCAGCGGATGAAAATTATGAAGACACAGATGATAATCATATATTACAACAATCTGAATTAACAAATGAAGAACCATCTGAAAGTGTACCAAAACGTTTAGCTGATTTACGAAATCAATTAGCGATTAAACAATATGCATTAACAGCTGCAAAAGAAGCATCAACATTTGATGCAACAGTTTGTATTCGTTTTATATCTTTTTTTTTTTTGTTTTTCTTAAATAAAAATTCTAACATAGGTTTTGGCATCACTTGAACGTGATTGTGCTGATTTACATCAAGAAATAAGTACACTTGAATGTTTATTAGAAAATGTTGATTTATGGTGGTCCTATATGGGTCAATGGCAAGCTCAAATACTTTCCGATATAGTTGGTTGATAATAAAAATAGAAAATCTATTTAAATATTTGATTTTTGTTTTTTAAGGTTGGAATTGGTCGATCATCTTTAGCTGTACTTATTCGAAGTCCAAACAATGAACAAGATCAAGTTGGTTGGGTTATAACACGAACATTACATTCTTGGCAACAGTTTTATTTTCGATTAAAAGACGTTTGTTTAGATTCTATTTTAAATTAAAAATAAGTTAATAAATATAAATTATTTTTTTAGTTAGAACCATCATTACCAACAATTGATTTATTTCGTGTACGTCATCGTCATTTTAATCAATTACAATATGATGAATTTTCATCTAAAAAATTATTACAACAGCTTGAAATTTTTATACAAACAATTCTACGTAACGAACATATGTCATCATTTGAATTCGTTTATCAATTTTTGAATCCATCTATTATTGAAAGTGATAAACAATTATCAAATTTAGTTAATGTTAAAAAAAAACAAACGAATTCATATAAAAATTCATTGTATGTAATTTTTCATAGGATAAATATATATAGACAGAACTCGGAAAAGAAAACCTTGTCTATTCGATTGTTTGTGAATAGAATTACAAAAAAAAAACATGAAATTAGTTTTATATACATTAAACAAAAAAACTTGTTAGGACTGAAAGTGTATAGGATAAGTTGAATTCCACTCACTGATAATACGAATTTGAAATGTCAATTGTATACATTTATAATTGAAGTGTATTTTAGCAAAATCATCAAGTAAAATTCTTTTTGTTTTTTTGTTTTATCAACATCTAAGATTAGAATAGTTATGAATTTATATTGCTTTTCTGTTTAAGTCCTCCTCTCAAAAATAGTCAATTTTCGTCTTGAGATAAATGTATGAAAAGATAGTTCGAGGTCTTATCTTTCATAAACGACACGAATTTTTTGTTTGGCACCTCGTTTTTTTTTCAAAAATTATTGATTTCTATCATCACCTACTTGAGAAACCATATTACTTTCAGAAAAAGCAAGAAATTGTTTTCATTTTTTTCTGTTCATGCTGTTTTGATCGTACATCACAGAATTCTCGAAAGAGCTTCATTGTAACCAATCGCGTTTTGTTTTGTTCGAAAGAGCATCTCAAGATGCAGAGCATGGCAAAGTCTTTTTTTTTTAAATTAAGTTTTCTTACTATTATACAAAAGAGTACTTTATAATTATAGCGCCATTTTTCGAGACATTGACTTTTCACCTTTTTTCTCCGTTTAATAAGCATTTAAAAAAAAGTCTCTGTCATGTCGGTACATCTTAATATGCTCTTTTAAAGAAAAAAAGTTAAGTGTATAGAATGAAGGCCTACAGAGAATTTTGATTGACCACATGAGCTATTGTTGATCCTTGTTTTTGTTAAATATCTCCCAAAAACGTCAAGTTATATGGCTGAAAATTTTACCATAGCCTCTTCACTATAGTCCCAACATACTCTGAAAATTTCACGTGATTTACATTGTACTTGATCTAAGATTGATTTTTGAGGGGTGGAGACTTTCATGTCCTTTTGCAGTTGTTTTTTAAAAAAAAACATTGATAAAGATTAAATTAAAATATGATATTGATATATGAGCAGAATAAAAATCAATAATCTTGCTTAACCACTTATTGCGTTCCGATACAAGTCTTTACTGAATAGCAAATCTTGTCAATCCGATTATAATTTGTGTCGATTATTTACAGTTGTTTATATACGAAAGACTCATCGTCTGAAACGTGTGAAATCTAGAAAAATTCAATCGTTGTCTTGTTACTTTTTGTGACAGTGTAGTATTGAGTTACTTTCTTAGCTCACGATGAACTTCTTTTGACATCCATTCATCTGAAATTATTGATGACAAAAACATGTCTTCTACAGAAAATCTTCGTAATTAATTAGTTTGAAGAGACGAACAAATAATAATTAAAAAAATGTGATTTTTTAAAATTCTTCAAATAAAATAATTCGAACTAAAATACTTTATTTTTAGTCAAATATTCCGTTCGGACAAAACATCCAATGATTTATCAGAAATTGACAGGTTTCAATTATTTTTTCTATTTTATTATCAGAAAATTTCTATTCATTTGTTTTTTTTTATTCTTCATCAAAGCGTTCGTTTTCTCGAAGGTCGTGCTGATTCGATTGCTAAACCATTTTATACTTTTATCGATACCCTATTAGACGAACAACGTGGTTTACTTAAATTAATACGTATGACATTCGTTCAATTTATTCGTGTTACATATGGAAGTACAATAAATCGACAAGTACGTCGATATATTGTTAGTTTATTTCAAGAAGAATATATAGTTAAATATTTAATTATGTTACGAGATATATTTTGGCCAAAGATTCCACTTGTTGAAACACCAATGCGTACAGATGATGAAAAACGAGAACGAAGACAACAAGCTAAACAACAATTGTTATCTAATATACCAGGTTTTATAATGAGAAAATTTTCAAATAAAAAGAAATTTATTTTGTTCTTTTTTTTTTCTAGAAACTATTTCTTTGATATTTGGTTCGGATAATGCAAGATTAGGTGCGGAACGTTTATTCGAACTTTTTCAAGATATTCGATTGAATAAACATCTTTGTTATGTAAGAAAGAAAATGAGAAGTTTATTGATATTGTTCTATTTGATATTTGTTTTTTTTTAGAAACTAATGATGTTGTTTATCAGTGAAATATTTCCAGAATTACAGATGAAATTATAATTGTATTTTTCTTTTGATAATTTAAGTGCAATCGTGATTTGAATATAAAATAAATTTTTCTTATCTCTACAAAATAAAAATGAAGTATGATATGTTGTTTAGATTTACTCTTTACCGACGATGATGTAGAGAATTGATCTCGTCTATATATTCTAATGGCGTGAATAGAATAACCAGACACATTTGACTTTATGCAGAATACTTTGATCAGTCTAGTGATTATTGCATGAAAGAAGAGAATAGAACGATTTGAAAACTCGTAGTTTTTCCTCTCTACAAGGATAGTTTTGAGTAGACAAAAGTAGTATGTTTGTTTTTTTTATTTGACGTATATGATAAAAGAAAAGAAGAAGATATGAACAAATATTTTTAACAGCGTATATATTTTATATACAAATTTTTTTTAAAAATATCTCTTTAGTCACTAATTAATTATACAATCAATGAATACATTGTATCGACGATAAATAATTCGTTCGATTTCTAATATGATAAGATTTACTAAAAGAAACTACGCATGATATATGCCAATTCTCGTTTTATCTTTCGATGATCATTACAGAATTCATTGAATGGTTTACTATGTCTTATCTATCAAGCTATGAAAAAACGTGTGAAATGCATTTGATTTATTAGTAAACATTTTCCCTATACATGTGATACAACATATCTTTGAAATGTATTTTGTATACAAGTGGAAAAGACTTCTAAGGAATATTTAATTTTTGCAAAACCTATCAATCGTATACGTCATGCTTTTCAGAGATGAAGATCACGTGGTTCGATTTTTTTTCAATGGAGTTTCTCCTAATATTCACGTCAATGGATACTCTGGAGTATAAGATGAAATTTGATTATATGATTTTTATTATTGTATGAATGGATTTTATTTAATTAAATTAAACCGAGTATTAGTATAATACATCTCGAGTTTTATTAATTTCTTTCAGGTATTGATTGAAAAGATTTAGTAAAAATTATGATTGAACATCATTGTTCCCAAATGTTGAATTCTCATAATGCAAATGTTAAACATTTCTTTCTTCACAATGCTTCTATTTGTCTTTTTAAATACTGTGATATCTTTCAATTATTACTTTCTCATCATGAAACAGACATTGATAATAAATTGAAAATGTTGTTTTTAAATTTCTTTTTATTTTTATATTTTAACTTCGTAAGAATTACATTGTTAGATTTCTTTTGAAAATCACCATTCTATTTTTTTGAACAAAGAAACTATTCAGCCAGTTACATTTTGTATTTTTAACTTGTCTTTTTTCGTAAATAAGAAGTACATATTCTTTGTTTGTCAGAATGTTAAATGCTCTTATCACATGCACCTTTATTTTGTTATAAAAAACACGATTAAAAAAATTTTTTTATTAAATCAAATCCGCACTTTCTTAATGTGTTGTATATAAATGCTTTCTTCTTTTTTCACGAGTATTTTCATCATTATCCCTATGAAATGTATCCAATGGTCGTCTACCCGATACTTGATATAAAAGCCATTCGGACAACCACTCTGGTAATAAAAAATCATTAATAATACCAATATATTTCAAATGATATGGTAATATAACTTCATTTCGACGCCATACAATAGCTTCTAATACTTGATTTGCAGCATAACGTGGAGAAACAACAGGTAATAAAAATTTTAATGAAACATGATTTACTAATGGATTAAACATTTTTGTTCGCATTATATATGGACATATACAATGAACAGATACACGTGTATTTGGATGTGTTGCATGAATATCAAGACGAAGTGATCGACTAAGACCTAAACTAGCATGTTTTGATGAAACATAACTTATTGGACCATGAGAAGCATGAATACCTAGAATTAATAAAATGAATGAATGAATGAATGAATGAATTTATTTATATTTGATATTTCTATACCAAGAACACTTGAAACAATAACAATATGTCCACGATTAGCATCAAGCATATATGGTAAAAATGCTTTAATTAACCAAATAGGTGAAAGTGAATTAACATTAAATGTACGTTCAATATCTACATCAGATTCATTTAATAATGATCGTCCACTAACAAAACCAGCATTAGCAACAAGTATTGTTACTTGTCCAAGATCATAACGAACTTTTTCAGCACATGCATATATATCAGCTGAACGTGTTACATCAACACGATAGATTCGTACACGACTTGATGAATTTCGAGTATGTAACATTGTTAAACATTGTTGTTGAGTTTCACGATTTCCTATGTAGATATAATATATTCTTTTTCATTTTTAAATTCTTTAAATAATAATCTCCCTACCAATATCATCTATATCACAAAGTGCTAATGAAGCACCAGCTCTTGCAAATGCTAAAGCTATTTCTCTTCCAAGACCATTTGCTGAACCAGTTATAAGTACAATATGATCATGATAATCATGAATAGTTGGTTGAAAACCTAACCATTGTAAACAACGATAAAAGATAAGAAATGCTACAGCTAATGGATAAAGTATTAAATTGATTAAAAGACGTAGAAAACCGAGTAAATCAATCATTGATATGTTCAATAATACGTTTTTGAAATAAAACAAAATAAAATTAAGTAACAACAAAAAAAGTATTCTATTTGAATATTTTTTAATCTTTTCTTTCTTTCTTTTTTCATCTTATCAATAAGTCAACTAAAAAAGTGCATAGGTCAGACGAGTTATAATCAAAGAAAAAAAAGGTTTCTCAAAAGACTTGTTTTGATCAGTCCATAATAAAGAAAAGATTATTAAATGAATTCTTGAAATATTTAAGAAAATTTGCTTGAAATGATCACAGAATGAAAACATTGAGTTTTAGTACAGTTAATAGGATTAAAATTTCGACTGGATTTATGCAAGGTTATACAATCCATAAATTTAATCTTTGTTGTATCAACTGTCGGTAAACAAAAAGTATGAAACGTATCTACCATGTGATTTTGTGATACTCTAACGTGAAGAAAAGAAGAGAAAATTTGACAAAAGAGAATATTATAAATACTATGATTTTAAGTATAAGAATATACAAATTTTGAAAATGAAAAATAACTTTCGAATATTTGCTTCAATAAAGAGTCTTTAAAAATAGATAGAAGAAGGTGATTAATTTGTTTTTTAAATGCCATTAAATTTTGATTGGATAACGTTAGAGGACATGTTTATATGGTTATAAATGGTAGAGTATGAACAAACAATAATAATTTTGGTTTTCTACTTTTTAGCTAATAGATTCATTTGTTATATAAAATCTATAGTAAAATATAATATTCTACTTTGATACTATCGGTTTCATATCTAATAGAACATTAAATGGAAATAGATACGACAAGAAAAGAAAATCTAATGAAATAGTTGAATTTATTCGATCTCATATCGTGAATATAACGAAATGTCTTATGTGATATAATTCGAAAGTTTTCTTCACTTGTTTCAAAACTAATTACGATTTATTTCTCATATTATAAACAGTATTCGATTCAGTCTACTATAAATAATACGATGAGTTCTAAAGTCACTTTGTTCAAAGACAAAAAATAATCGAAGATCTATATCATGATTTAATCAAATAGATTGCTGTTTTTTTAGCAATCGAGTAAACCTATGTAGAATACAATATAATATATCCAATGATAGTTTTTACCATGAACATTTTCTTTTTATTTCAATTATTAAATAGTATTTTATTGATAATATCATCCGATCCAAAATAAAAGATAGGTTACCATTTTTCGAATTTTCTTGTTATTGATACTTGTTTTAAATTAAACCTGATATCTAATAAATATTATATAAAGACATTGATTTTCATTTTATTATCGTTAATAAAATCATTGAAATGAAACACAACTTCGTTCGAAAAAAGAATTCTCTTAATTACTAGTGCGCTCTAATGTTCTTATAAGAGTTTAACACATTTCACTTATTATAGTTTCGATAAAACAATAGGAGTTATAAATCAAAGCACAATCATTCATGGAAATCAGCAAGATGCTGTCACATGTTAAACACTTGAATGTGAATCTTGATTTACTTTTTCTTTTGTAAGTTATAAAAGTCTTTCAGAAAACTGTTGATTCGCAATGATCTCATTTACAAAAAAAAAGAAACTTTATAAGTATCTTTAATGCAATCTACTGTTGGTTATTTCTTTTTTGAATTCGATAAACAATGGTGGTTGCATGATCAGTGTTGATCTGTATTTTAATCATTAAGAAAACTATTTCTTTTCTAATGTTTCTAGACAGAGGTATTTACCGGTAAATGTGTGGAATAAAACATTGAAGAATATACTATCATATTATAAAAATCATATAAGATATAAATGAGAGATTTACGTTTACTTTCCCAGCGGTTTTCTCGGATACCTTGAATTCAAGATGAAATTGGTACTGATCACTAGTCTAACTTATTCACTTTCTTGTTTTTATTAAGTAAACATATGTAGTAAATTTAATTTGTAAGTTGATCACATCAAGTAAGTTTATCTATTAGAGTCGGTCGAATTAGTGTTGGATCCAGCCGAGTTCGGGTCTAAAGTATTTCTGTTAACCGAGTTCGGAAATTTTAGATCTGATACGTTTCACTATCTAGCAATGTAATCGGTACTGGCCGTTAAAAATCCAGACTGATTCCATCTTTGCCCTGTATATAGTGCAGGACTTCGTGCTTACATTCATGAATAAATAAAGTGTCTTCGTCATATTGATAAAAACCATTGATCCGTCAGGTGTCGCCCTATGACGGTATTCATCGAATTTGTAAAGTGCTAATTGTTGTTTTATTGTCTATGACAAATACCAATCATCATATCCAAAATATTCACTTCACTGTACTGATTCATCATTATTGACAGATTTTTATTTGCAATCGTGTGAATAGTTCAATAATAATTATTTATATTCTTTAGATTATATCCAATTATAATTGATATCGTGAGTGTTAAGTTTTTATTTTTATTTTTATTCTTCGTTAGAATTTCGCAATTAATTTTTGTTACAAGTGAAATATTTTTATTTTTATTTTATAATTAAAAATAAACTATAAAAATTGTCTCTAGACAATTGTCATTGTTTAGAAGTTCGTCTACGTACGACAAGATCAATCATATACACAAACAGACGTTTCATTTTCCATATTATATTTTACAAAAATATCATAGTTTCTTATTCTAGGAGTGGAAAAAAGAATCTACTGCTACTATGCAATCAAGTTAGAATATTCTCATATTCTATTCTTCTAATATTTTTTTCTCTAGGCTTTATTTTCTTTTTTTCTCTGTATCAATTTTTTTATACAGAGGTAAAATAGTTTTTAAAATAAAAAGTGAAATTTTGTTAATTTTATTAATTTTTTTTATTTGTCTTATATTTAAGAAAGGAAATGGATGATGATATAGAAATTGAACGTATGTTGGATGAAAAAATGCAAGAAGATGTGCAAAAAAAAGTACAAGAACAAACAATAAATAAACCTAGTGAGAAAAAGGATAAAGACAAAAACAAAGACAAAGACAAAGACAAAGAAAAAGATAAAAAACATAAAAAACATCACAAACATCATAAACATCATAAATCACATAAAAGCGATAAAAAACATGAACATAAACGAAGTCGTTCACCAATTGATCGTCGTCATCATTTACCAGCACCACCAACATTATCGAGTGGAAAAAAACGAGATGTTAATTCGGAATTACATCAATTAGCTAAAACAATAAGTCGTCAAAAAGAATCCAAAGAAAATTTGTCTTCATCAAAATCAAATCGACGAGAAAAATCACCAGAATTAACACCTGAAGAACGTGATCTTCGAACTGTATTTTGTAAGAACAAGTTTTTATTATTAGTTTCTTTTTTTGAGTACGTGAAATTAAGGATTAGTATAGAACGTAATTCATTCAAAATTTTAATCTTAAGAAATTAAATTAATACATGTATAGTTTCATGATAGAAGATTTGAATAGTAATTTCTAGTAACTAACAAATAATTGGGAATTAATATTAACAGGTTTTCTGCTAGAAAGTTACAGTTTTTTTCAAACATAGGAATTATTTTTAGGAATCATCGGAGTTCTTTAAATCACCTCCTAGTAAATTAAATTGAACATTACAAGTTTTTCTTAAATGATGAGTTTTATTCTTTGATATGCATTGTACAAACTGATGTATTTTGAAAGCTCGATTCACGTCTCCTTAGAGCTTTACAAAAATGTGAGGAAAAGTTGAAGTCAATCTTAACTCTGACTTCTTCTCATAGGCATAGACCTAACAAACAGAACTATTTACTATTGATTTATTACGAAGGGGAGTGACTGCTGAATAGTCTATCATTGATGAAAACAGACAGCTTTTCATCAAGCGATGGATTGTATAGAATTTCGACCGTTTATCTGATTTCTTGTCAGACTTTTAGCAGTATTCAAATTTCCAAAAAGGGCAATGTCAATTATTTTTGTTCCAAATTGTTTGGTACTTATCAAAATGATGTAACTTTCCGGAATTCTGTACTTACCAAACTTTCAAATATTTCTAAAAAACTTTTCATTTGTACTGCTATATGATGATTGAGTTTATGGAAATTTTGGTAATTTTCTTTTCTGAAAATCTGAACATATCTGGGAATTTCGACAAACTTTTTTCATTGTCAAAAGTCCGACGTAAATTGAATGAATTCTTGATATTCAGTTGATGAAATTTCACTGGATATGATAGAAAAACAAAGAAAGGAGTAATGTCGAAGAGAAAGTATCGAAAGTAAAATCTTGAAAAGGAAAAGAATAAGATCATTCAAATCTACATTTAGACTAAATCTTGCTCAACATAAGATGATGGATGTGAGTCTTCTTTTGATCTCATTCCTTCAATCTTTTTCCTTTCTTTGTTTTTCGATCCATTTTTCCGCTATACTCAAGCAACGTTTATTTTAATAGTATTAAAATGTTTTGATCTACAATCAAAGTAGCTAGATGATTTGGCTTTTTTTTTTCATTTTAGTCTCATTGAATAAAAATCTAGTATAAGAGAATTCGCTTCTATAAAATTATCAAATGAAACAAAAAAAAGACTGTAAAATTCCTTATCGAAATATTTAATAATCAGAAACAAATATTAAGACTTTGATTGAATTAGTATGTTCTCCAATTGAAAAATTATATTTTGATATAAAAATTGAGAGTTGTTGCGCAAACGAGAAAAAAAAGAGAAAACAATAATAGAAATATTGTTAAAAGTTTAATTTCTTTAATGAACACATATTTATTTATTGTTTATTAATATAGGTATGCAATTAGCAGCAATGATTCGTCCACGTGATCTTGAAGAATTTTTTTCTCGTATCGGTAAAGTTCGTGATGTTCGTTTAATAACAGATCCTCGAACACGTCGATCAAAAGGTGTTGCATATGTTGAATTTCGTGATTTAGCTTGTGTTCAAGCAGCACTTGCTTTATCTGGTGAAAAACTTCTTGGCATACCAATTATAGTTAAACCATCAAATGCTGAAAAAAATCGTTTAGCAGCACAAGCAGCTGCTGCTCAAAATCCAGTTATAACTAATGGAACAACAATGCATGCTGGATCGCTTATACCAACACATGGTCCTATGAAATTATATGTTGGATCACTTCATTTTAATATCAGTGAAGATATGTTACGAGGAATATTTGAACCATTTGGACGTATTGATAGTGTTACACTTATGAAAGATCCTGATTCAAGTCGATCACGAGGATATGGTAATTTTAAAAATTCTTTTTGATTTTTTTTTGTTTTATTAAAACTAAAAATATGAATTTTTGTTTTTTTTTTGTTTCTATAGGTTTTATTCAATTTGCTCATGCTGAAGATGCTAAAAAAGCAATGGAAAATTTAAATGGTTTTGAATTAGCTGGACGAGCTATGAAAGTTGGTCATGTTACTGAACGACTCGGTGAAATGACAAGTGCAAGTGGTGTTAGTTTTCCAACACATACTGCTGGCATTGCAACATCATTTACATCATCATCAAATCTTGATTCCGATGATCTTGATCAACGTGGTATTAGTTTAGGTGCAACTGGACGATTAGCTTTAATGGCTAAATTAAGTGAAGGTAGTGGTTTACAAATGCCAAAGAATGCTGTAGATGCTTTACAAGCGGCACATATTCAAGCAGCCAGTTCTCAACATGTTCGTATACCTGAACCACCTAATTCACAACAATTAGCAACGGTAACAGCTGTTGGTACACAATGTTTTATGCTTTCAAATATGTTTGATCCAGTTACTGAAGCTCGAAATCCTCGTTGGACACAAGAAATACGTGATGAAGTTATTGAAGAATGTAATAAACACGGTGGTGTTGCGCATATTTATGTGGATGAAAAAAGTCCCGATGGAAATGTTTATGTTAAATGTTCAACTATTGCTAGTGGTAAATATTAATTTTCTTTTTGTGAAAACAAAAATCCTGATTTTTTTTGATTATAGTGTTTAGATGAGAGAGAATAAATAAGTGTTTTTTTTCCTCCTATAATCAACTAAACGATAAACAGATAGGATGAAAAATGAGTAGTTTTTATTGTAAATTAACAGATATAATTATTCAAAAATTCCGCCTGAATAAACTTACGTTTGTTTTTTTAATGAATAAAAAAAACTGACGTATCGTTACCTTTGTAAAAGATAATCTACAAGGAGTGTTGAAGTATAGGGGTAAAAATTTGACTTCTTCCCCAGAGGACGTGACAGATGTTGATATACAATCACAGAGCGCGTGTCAATAACATCTCATTATCATATAGGAACTACATTCTTATCGTATTTCCGTAGAATTAAGTAAAAAGATAGCAAAGAAATGTGTCCCAAAATAGATAGAATAAAACAATTTCTCTCCAATTAGCAACAGCAGTTACAACGTGTTTGATATTTTAATTCTTATGGATTGTGCCAAAAGATTTTTTATATTTATTACAGAGTTCGAAATGTATCGAATATGATTAGACTTGATTTAGATTCAAAAAAGTTTAAATCGGTCAAAATATGTTGGATCTTTACATGCAAATTATTAATACAGATTTATTGAACACTCTTTTTAGAGATGAAAGCACTAATTCTTATATAGTAGTTGACATATATTTTTTTGGCATAACGAAATTCAAGTTTGAATTCAGACAACTAAATCAATAAACTTGATCAACTTTTTTCTTTCCTAATTTCAAAAAATCTATTCATATTCTTTTATTTTTCTTATTTATAGCTATCAATGCAGTCAATGCACTTCATGGTCGATTCTTTTCTGGTCGTACTGTTATTGGTAATTATATACCAACACAATCCTATCATAAACTTTTTCCTGAATCAGCTTCAACAACAACTCTATTAAAATCTTCGTATTAATAAATTCTTTAGATTCTGCAATTGACAACGACCTATCGTTTTAGTCACAGAAAAAAAAAATTACGATTAAAATGAGTATAGATATATTTATATATATAAATACATTTGTTTAAAAAAAAAAATTTGTCTTCTGTATTTGTTTGTTTGTTTGTTTGTTGTTTTTTTTTTTTTGTAAACCATAATTTTTTTCGAAAAATTTGTGCGTATTATTGGATAACAAAAGAAAAATCCATTCTTGTTTTATTCTATTGAAGATGGTTCGTGTAAAACATCAAAAACCAGCACGTCGAAATTATCATCAAAATAAAAGATCCAATATATCTAATACTACTAATTCATCTAATCATAATACAATTCAAGTAGATCAACATGGATTCTTTGTAACATTTTGTTCATCAAAAGAATCATTTGTTCGTAATGAAGTTTATAATTTATTAAATCGTTTTGCTGATCAATTATGTGGTCCAGAATTTTCTGAAGAAAAAGATATTGATAATGAAATACCAAATCTTAATGATCTTGATTCAGCATTAGAAAATGAAAAACTTAAATTAAATAATTCAAATAAAAAAATTCGTCGTTTTCAAATTGTTAGATCAGGTACGAAACATTCATTTTTTGTTACAAGTATATTACCAATAATATCATTAAATAAACTTATTGAATTAATATTTAATACATGTATACAAACAAAAGAACAACATAGTCGATATATTGAACGTTTAATACCAATATCATTTATATGTAAAGCATATGAAGATGATTTAAGAAAATTAATTATAAAAAAAGAATTTATCGAACAAATTTTATTACTTATAAATGAAAATGATACATCAAACAATATTATATGGTTTGATGTACAAGCTAAAAAATCTAATAATACAACATTAAAATCAAGTCATTTAGAAGAAATTCTTATTAATGATTTAATATCAAGAAAATCTGATGATTTAAATGGAAAAATATTAAAACGTGATTATAAAAAACCACAAATACATATATTAATACATGTAATTAGAAATTTAATACTTATTTCAGTTGTACGAAATTATGATATGTATAAAAAATACAATCTTGCTTCAATTAATTTAGCTGTGACAACAACAGAAGAAGGACAACAACAACAAAATAAAATTACATTTGCAGATGATGATGATGATGATGATGATGATGATGAAGATGAACACGACGATGATAATAATAATGAAGAAACAAATGAATAAATGAGTTTCTTTTGTTTTTTTTGTCTGTATAAGAACACAAAAACCAAATCTAAATAAAAAACGTAACTAAAAATATTAGTCATTTGTTTTCATAGTTTTTTTTCAACTTACTATTAAAGTCCATGATAACCTTACATATTAAGTTATGACCGGGTATTATAGTTCTCTTTTTCTCTTTTTCTCGCGTTGTGTTCTCTTTTCCTCTTTCTACCCTTATATCATCGTCAATGGAGGGCACAGAAGAGGGGTAAGTATTTTGCGATCACGCCATTGTGGTCTGTCTCATCTAACTTATCGACTCACTTATATAGCCTACATCTATTTGTAGTTGCCTTACTATTTACTATCTTCTATCTAGATATACAAAAATAAACTCGAACTAAAACAACAAATGGCAGCAATGCTAGTTCGTAGTGCCTTATCTTGTTCATCACGTTCATTAATATTATTTACTTTCGGTTGTACATTAGCTGTCGTATTAATGACTTTTCAATATGAACATAAATTATTATTATTTAATTCTCCTCGTCTTATGCTTACTTTACCTGCTTTGAGTCTCATTTCTGTATGTGGTCTTGGTGCTGGTAAATAAAGAAAAAAAAATTATATGAAATATTTTGTTGGTTTTTTTTAATTTTCTTTCATTTAAATAGTTTTAGTTGATCTTCTTTATCCAATGCTTGTAACTTCTATTGATCAAACATCTATGTCTACAGATAATGATGATACTATGCAAAAATCTCGAATTTGTAAATCATTAGTAATATTTGTTGGTATCAATCATTTATGTGCAGTATGTTTAGAAATACAAAATGAAAAGAAGTAATGCATATAGATTTTTTTTTTTTTTTTTGTTTAGAAAATTACATTTCAAAGTGATCTTCATTTTTCTATTACAGTAGTCTGTTTATGTATAGCATTTTGGTGGTGGTTTGATAGAAGTATAATTGGTTTTACTTTTTCAAGTATTGTATCATTTATATTAACCATGATTACAGAAATTTTATTACGTGCTGGTGCATTAGAGTAAATCTATTTATTATTTTCTTTTCAATAGATCTATAAGAAATTCGATTTCTCTTTTTTTTTTAAAGATATACAAATTCGGATTTTTATTTAAAAACATGTGTACCTTGTCTAACATTTGCCGGTGCTATTCTTATTATACAAATAACAAAGCTTTTATCTCGAGTATTTATATTCTTTTGTTTATTTTTGTCTTATTATTATTTTTATTATTATTATTTATATATTTATAGGATAATCAATCACTAACATCGAGTAGTCAAATCGAACAAGAACATATAAAGAATGAATAAGATAATAATAATAATTTTTTTTTTGTCTCGTTATTTTCAGTCATATTATCTTTGTGAGGTAACAGATACATTAACTTCTATAACTTTGTATTTCATATCTGCAAATGTTCCTGATTGTTTTATTTATTCTTTTTTTTATGCCTATTCATTACTTGATCGTAGCTTTGATAAATATTTTCTTTTTTGTCGGATTTTTTCTAGACTAATGTTGGTTTGCTCTTTTTTGTTTTATTTGTATAATGTATGGATAGGCTTTCAATGGTAGAAAAAGTTTTTTTTTTCATTTTTTGTTTGAATATATTTTTGTAAATATGCTTTTTGGACGAAAAAATAAGTTTCGAAAAATGAATAGATTATTAAATGATTTTACACTCATGAAATATATGGATGAATTAATCTTTTCAAAAAAAAAAAAGAATGGATTTTTGCTTACTCATTTATTTGTTTCAAGGCATTTTTAAGAAGTTCTTTTTTTCGAATATGATTCACCGGAGAAATATACAATCTGAATTCATTATCTTGAGTGATAAAACTAGATAACCTATATTCAATGAAGTTTTGACTGTAAATTATGTTACTTTTAGTATGACTTATATATGTTTGATGTATTTTAAAGATATTAAAATAATGACTAAACAAGCATACAATAGAGTTTGAATGAAAAGTTTCTAAGTTTTATATTCAATAAAATTTTATTATTAGCTCTAATTACAAAATAACTTGGTTTTGTTTGGACTTTCGCACTATAATAGATAACAATTTATCAGGCACAGGTGTACCTTTCTCATATTTTAGGGACATAAAGGTCATCAAATTTCGATTCTTTTTTCAGCTTATCAGTGATAATTTACAACAGAACAAGTTTTTGACTATCATTCTTAGTACTTCGCTGTATCAACTATAACAAAACTTTACTATATTGTATTTAACAAATTTATTGTATATAATTCAGATTATATGAATACAATTCTCAACTGAATTTGTGCGTTTCTTTACAAACATATTTAGAAAGAAGTTAATATCTTATTTTTTATCTATTTTTATTCAAATAACATTTTTAAATATTACAGTTAAATAATAATTACAGATGCATATTTTTTTTAATAAAAAGGACATATGTTCTTGGATAAATGATGATTCATTTCTATTACGAAATTATGCAAGATTAAATGAACCATTAATTGATTAACACTCATCAATTGCATAAGTCAATAAAGCAGACATTTTGCTTTTGATTTTATCTTTTTACAGACAAGGCATACTATTTCTTTTTCTCTCTATGTGTATGATAAATAATTATCATAAGACAAATCTTGCTAGAAATTTTTGATATATCAAACAAATATCTTCATGAGCATCTGAATACTGATGAGCAAGTGAAAGATTTTTATTTATCAAAATTTAAATATTAAGTATTCATATAGAAGAAAAACCATCTTTTATAGATCCATTTTTACAATTATTCATCTGTACACGCGTTTATATTGATTGAATTTGTATTCTATCATTCAATAAATATTCGTTTGATCTTTGATCCATATCAAATTATTTTTATATAATCTTTATATTAATCGATGATATATAAAATATCAAATCTTGAAATAATAGAGATCTTTATTTTGTTAAATTATGACATTCATTTATATTCGCATCGATAATTTCTTGTTTTTTTTTTCCTGTTTTTATTTCGTTGGAATTCTTTGATATGATTATAGACGTCGCAAGAAAAAAAAACCACAAATAAATGAATTGAATTTTCGACGTTATCGTTCATTCCAACATCGGAACATGAGCGATGAGTTTTTCGCTTTCTTTCAATGTATAACATCGAACAAAAAAAAAAGTCAGTTTAGACTAGTATCTCAATGTAATAACTATTCTCTTTAGACGACTATTATATGTATATGGACAACGAAAGAGAAGACGAGAGAGAGAGAGAGAGAAAAGAGCGAAAGAGAAAAAGTCTCTCCTTGCTCTTACGATCGCATAACGTGCAACAGCAGTAGCAGCAGGAAGCAACACACAACATATAAGCTCATCCTATTCTCCTCCCTGTTTCTTGTCTCGATGGTTGTACATCGTGCCGACATTCAAGTACTCTCTTCATTTAAGTGGACATAGTGACTAACAATACTTTTCGATTTCGGTCTTTTTTTTATCTTGTTGTCAAACTTCGAATAACAACAACAACAACAACATCAACAAATATAAATATTTTTATTTAAAATACATAAATATTCTATTAACGTACAATGTTTTGGACCTTCTTCGTTTGTCTTCTTCTTCTCATCATTGAAACATCGTCTTTCATTGATAATAATGGTAAGAAGATTATATTATAGGTTATCATAAGTATCGATGCGTGAGATTAAAATCAATCGATAGTAAATGGATATTTCAGATTTTTGTTCATTTTTTTTTGTATATTCATGCGATTGTATAGAAGTAATATAAAAGTGATAATATAAGACGTAAAACTCTTCCAACGCCATAAATTCAATGTATATATAAATATATGTATATGGCGATGATGTAAACGACCATTTTACCATATACACACACGTCGTGATAATGTTCAAGTTCAGCTGTGATTTGCATAAATCATATCTTCTTTTGTATATATATATACATATATATATATGTATATCTTAATACAAGGCGATATATATATATATATGAATTGGTCCATCTGTAAAATTCCTTAGCAATCTCAATTGTCATTATCTATTTATTGATACACTTGTTGTCACTCACTCACTTAGACTAAAACAAGAATAGTTGACAAGTTCTCTTGATCATATGTACATCCCTCTCTTTCTCTCTCTTTTCTGATAAATTGATTGTAGCGTAATGTGTTGAACTATTCTGTCGCCTGTTATGAGAGAGATAGAGAACAAGAAAATATATACTTACCTTGAGAGAAAGGAAAATAGATTATGTCATAGAATCATCATCAATAAAGATGTTAACCCGATGTTGACCAGCACAAGTATCACGGATCATCTGTCTGTAATTACCGTGGACAATGGTCAATAATAAAAAGTAAATAGCATAATAGAAATAAATTTTCTTTGTAAGTACTTCTATAGTTATGTAAAAATATGATTTCTTCTTTTTTTTTGTTTTCTTTTTTTTTTTTTTATCTCCAAAGAGATTTATTTTATTCAAATAAAATAAAAAAAAGAAAAAAGGGAAATTGTGCGCACCGCTTATGAATAGTGCTTCTCCCAATGTGACACCGATTTGCATTCCAATACATATATATAAATATGGGCAGACATTAGCTCATTGGGGGATGTCTGTTACGAGTTGTGAATGAATGAAAGTATATGAACTGACTAATTTGATTGGGGATAACGCGCATCATTCAGTTCTAATTCGATCTTAGCGGACAGGATTTGTCCATTTTTTGTCTTTGTTGCTATGCATGGTTGATGAGCTCTATATATTGCATATTGTTCTTTAATACAACAAATCAATGATGACACTTGCTTTAGGGGGAAAATTTTTCTTCATTGAAATATAATAAAATAAAAGAACGCGAAAAAAAAAATGTGTATGTTTTTTTTTCTTTTCTTTTTTAATCTAGGAGAAATTAAACCAATAATGGAAGCATTACAAACGAATGTAACAGTAATTAGTGGACAAAAAGCAAAATTAGCATGTATATTTAGTAGTATAAATCATGAATTATCACTTTCATCATCACATCAATTAATATGGATTCGACAAAGTTATGGATCACATAATGGAGATTCAATATTAGCACATAATCAAGATTTATTAATAACTGATTATCGTTTAAATATTCAACGTACTGATCATGATTATTCATTAACAATAACTAATGTTAATATTGATGATGAAGGAATCTATACATGTGAAGTTAATACTCAACCACCACAAAAAGCATTTGTTCATTTATATGTTCAAGGTAAGTGCATGATGTTTCAATTGATTCCTCTTTTTAGTTTTTCTCTAAGTTTTCTTTATTTTTTTTTTGTTTTTATCTTAAAATGCATGATCATATTCTCTGCACCTGCTATACATTAGTAGTAGAATAAAAATGAGATCTCTAAACGGAAATCATGGTTCCGACGTGATGCGCGTGTGTGGATGTGTTTAATGTCTATACTAACTGTCAAAGTTAAGCATCATGCTTGAATTGAGATGATCAACATATTTCAAGCTATGATTATATATATATATATATATACAGTATTTATTAGAATTGTTTATAATATAAAGCAAAAAGGAAAATGAGAGAGAATGCGAATGATTCTTCGTTTAAGTGAATGCCAGACGAATCGAAGATGAAATGAAGGCGAAAGAATATATATATATATATATGTATGCGTGCTGCTACTTAATGTATTTAATGTTATGGTGGTTAGTAAAATAAAGATGAAGAAAATCGGTAAATGATGATGATCGTGAGTTCTGGCGAATATATATGGCAGAAGTGAATTGAACCGAAAGAATATGTTTATATTTGAACGAGTGATGACATTTTGTTGTCTACAATATATAGATATATACGTATATGAAACAGAAACAGAGACATACACATACGGAATTGCTTTTCAACGCCTCTCTTTAGTAATATAACATGCGACGAATATCAGCGTGTCCTTTTGTTCGTCGTCAGTCATTATATATTGCTTGGAAGAACTTAATTTTGATGGTCAGCTGATAGACATGCACGCTAGTGATGATGGGTGCGATCAATTAGGATTTTTTTTAGCGTGTGATTTTATCTTGATAAATATGACAAAAAAAAAGAAAAGTAGACTCAAAGACAATAAGGAAATTATCGTGATTTTAAAATGATAATTAGACTTAATTTGTACGGTTTCTTTTTCTATCGTTAGTAGATTAATCTGAGTTTATACGAAAAAAAAAACCAAGATAAAATCAGAATATTACACTTAGCTAGTGTTTACCTTTCCTTTTGTGAATCATATGAAATATTATGACTAATTATTTTTTTCTTTAATCACGAGTGTAGGAAAAGGAAATTAACTGTATATTATATTCTATATAATATGTTTAATGATTTACATTATCATTATATGTAATATTTTGTTTTTTTGAATTATTAATTGGTATTTTCATGATGATATTGTAACGATTGAATCATTATGTTTTATTTATTAATTCAAAAAAAGAAATATAAACGATGACAAATAAATGAAAATGATATTAATAGTAAACAAAATATTTAAGATAAATTTATTTGATCAATAGAATATCATTCGTTGTTTTTGTCGAACATTGTAAATTAGAAATGATTTTAATGCGAAGAATTTGTCGGTTATTTTATGAATAATTGTAATAAAAAAAGAAAATTAATGAAATGTTTGTATTGTTCATAAGTTTAGGTATATTTTGAATGATAGGATTGTTTTTTGTCTTAATACAATTTTTTGAACATATAATTTCATCAATATTTTTAATTTTGATTAAAAGCTTTTTGCAATTGAATCTCATATGTGAGTGTAATTGTCTATTAAAAAATATTTTTCATTATTAAAGATTACAATTATTTTAGAATTTTGAATAGACATGCTAATGAAATAAATTTTCTCAAGTCGAAAATATTTCATTGGTTATTTATGATTCGGAAAGAAATTATCAGAGAATTGTAATAAATTTCTCGTTTTGTATTGACGGTGTTCTTTCTTTTTTAACAGAATAATATATAGAACATGTCGGGTTCAAAAGTTTTGAATCTCATAGCCGCTACGAAGATGCGAAATACTTTCTATTGATTATTTGTATTTTGTCACTAACACATCTTACAGATTTCTCAGGTAATCTTGACGATAATTTTATAATTATCAAATCACAATTGACTATCACTTTTTGGAGTATAATTCATTGAATCTATTCCAAATCTTAATTGGATCGGTGGCACATTTGACGAGTTTAAATAGTATAAATATTTCTAATATTCGTTTGCACTTGTAATTTCTACAATGATCGCTCATTGGTTGAAATCATTTAACCTGTTTTGTCAAAGTATATAGCTCGTCAAACAAAACAACATATTACTTTTTGCGTTTCTATTAATTGATATCAAAAGGATTAAGACGGTCACACTTCATTAACATAAAACCTGATCCACGTGGATGCACATATATTTATGATATGTCTTTTGATATAGGTGGCTATGTCTCCAGTGTAATTTAGCTTTTACCTTTTGACTAATAATGAAACGATCGAAATCAGAAGAATCTCATCCGACTCCAAGTCGATCTGATGATCGTTTTTTTGTTTGTGCTTGCGTAATATTACCATTTCTTGCTGAAGCAGCTTATATATTTGATGCTTTTTATTATCATAGTTCTGCTAACTCCGCTAGTGGTTATGAAGGTTTACTTTCATCAATTTTAAGTGTTTTTATTTATTTACAATATTGTGCACCACTTCGATCACGTTATATACGTTTTTTTTATCATTTAAGTTTATGGATATTAACTGAAGTTGGGACATTAGCACATATAGTATATTATGTTAAAAAAAATGATGCATTACATATAATTTTGTATACTGTGTGGGCAACGGTAGATACAATCTATTTTATTTGCCTTATTTGTTGTCGAGTATTTTATAAACATCGTGGTCTTCATGTTCATGTACCAATTGAACAAGAACATTTATTTCATTTTATGTCACGTTTAGAAGTTATTCTTGCTTTATTTATTCCAGTTTTTTTCGATATACATCTTACAACATTAACAAGAGATAATATTGCTTTTTATATATTATTTGATTTTTTTGCTGAATCATATCATCGTTTTCGTGGTGCAGCTATTAAAGCAACATTATACATATTTGTTGTTGTAGTAACAGCATCTGTTGCAACAGAATGGTTATATATTGCAAAACATGAACATAAATTTGAAATAGCATCAGTAATAACTGAAATTGTTGCTGCCTGTTTTTGTTATTTATTTATTGTTATGCAGTTTTTTCCGGGTAATTTTATTTTTAAAAAAAACCGAAAATATCGTCATAGAGCAAGAACAATATCAACAGCAACAACATCAGCATTTAGACCAGCACGTGTTTCTACTGCTCGTACGGATGATATGATTTCGTATGGTTTTGATTCTGAGAGACATATTTCTACTGCTCGTACGGATGATATGATTTCGTGTGGTTTTGATTCTGACAGACACATTTCTACTGCTTGTACGGATGATATGATTTCAGATGATTATGATCCTGACAGACATGTTTCATATTTTTAAAGTTTTATTTATTTAATAAATCACAATTTTATGAGTTTTAATAGAAAGAAGTTTTTTATTTGAAATAAATTATTCGTTTGATATCATCAGAAGTGTAACTATTTCATTTGAACTTATCTTTCGACTATTTTGATTTGAATATTTTTATATAGAATAGGATGCGATTTAAAATCTATAGAATATTTATTGAAGTCTATTTGTAGTTAATACTCTGTTGTGAACTGAACATGGACTATAATGTCTGAGTGACTATGTTGTTCGACAGATGTCCACCAGGTACTATATTTAAACCTTGATACTACTCAGCCATGAAATGATCCTACGCAAATCACTAACGGCTATTTATGTCGGATCACCTATCCGATAAAATGCTGGCTACGTTGTAGCTAGAGTGTGATTGGTTAGTATATGTGAGGAGTGCAAGAATTCGACATCAGACTAGTCTTCTGTACAGAGCTACAGCTAGTATTAGTTGTAAGGAAGATATTTGGCTGTTGAATTGACCACTAGGCAGCACCCTATATCGAAAGGCTGGAATATGCTTGTAACGAATAGAATACTTTTGTTATCATAAAAGTGTGATCTATGATTAGTCGAATTCAGAAGAATAATTTTATCGTAGTAAAACAATCGTGAAAAAAAATTAACCTTCATTGAAATTTGTATAGAAAAAAGGTTCGAATCTCATAATTGTAACTTTTTCAGAATAAACTAATATATTTTCTAATAAAGATAAACATTTTTGCTATGTTTACTTTCCATTATTCATTAAGAAATATTTCATTTTCTTTTGATATATTATTTTAATATTATGCAATAAAGTAACATTAAAAGAAATTATTTATGTATTGTAGAAAAACTATAGACTGTTTGTAAAAAAAACAAACAATAAAATCAAATATCTACATTGTAATCTCACTAAATGAAGTGATTTTTCTTTTCGCGATAATAGAGAAGGTTTTCAAATTTTTATTCATAAAGTTTAAATTCATCAATATTTTCGAAAACTAAAACATTTAAATTCAATAAACAAAACAACTTTTCTATTTCGAGTTTCAAAAAAATCACCGACATAGTTTCCTATTGAATCGCTTTAATTTTTTAGAACTTTACTGTATCAATATCTGTTTGATATTTCTTGAAAAAAGAAATTTCGATGACCTCGGAAGTTCTAAAATTGCTTGAGTTTTCTTCATTCATTTTTAACAAAGCTTGTTGATGAATGAGAAACGAATATCTTTGAGAAAAAAACTAAAATTTCAAATTTTTCAAAAAATATCACACAACTGTGTATACAATGAATTCTGTCTATTGTTTTTCGAAACTCGAAGAAGAACAAAGAAAAGACTATTTCATATATTGGAAATATCTTCTATTATTACAAAAGAGAAAAAACAATCATTTCATTTCGTATAACTACAATAGAAATAATATAATTGTCTTGTTTTACTCTTATGACTTTATAGACACTTTAAAATTATTAACATTTAACCGACTTTGATTTATTAAGATTGAAAATGCATGTGAACATGAATTTGACTATTTGAACCGAGACCAAATAATTTGGGTAACTTAACCCAATCATCAAAATATCCTGATGCTTGTACAGGTTCTAAATCAATTTTAGCTGAACCAATCGCATCACGACCAGCTGTATCATCCTCATCATATACTTTTATATGTATATGATTTTGATCATGTTCAATACGACTAAAAAACTGATATAAAAATAATAAAATTCAATAGAAATTAGATTAGAAAACATTTTTACAAATGAAATGTTTCATTCCATTGTGAATCTGTTGAATTTGAAATAGTTGCTGTTCATTGTTTATAGTCATCATCTATATAAACTTGAACATAAGCATCATTTAAGCCACCAAAAGTATCTTTATCATCAAGTACTCTAGCTTCAACAATAGTTATTAATAATTGACCAGCTATAAGAATTTAGAATACAGCTAAGAGAATAAGCAGAGAGAAAAGAAGGATTAAAATAATAAAACGATTTATTGCGATGTTTTGGTTTTTTTTTCTCAGGTATATATTTCAACAGAGTAATTTGTTTGATCATGCATAACAACAATAACAAAATATAGATATTGTAAACAAGAGGATATGATGTTTTTCATTTCACCTTGAATTTATCTAGTGACTAATTAAACATAGATTACCTTTATGACAATATTATTTTTAGTACAAATATAGTTCGATAAATAAAGTTCAATTATTCAACCCTTTGTTGAGAGTCAGTTTTGACCTATTCATAAAAACTATCTATTTAGAGTAATAAAGCATTAAATCGAAATGGTTGTTAAACATTGTGTATAGTTTTAAATAGGCTACATAGTCGACACGAAATGTAACTTTTTTTTATTATTCCTTGGCTAAGATATATGATTTAGAACATGATGTACTTTCAAAAAAGAAGTAATAGAATCTTTTTTTTTTCTGTAATTTATTTTCACAGATGGATTTTTCTGATGTTGGTGAAGTTGATATATATCACAAAGAGCATAATCTATTTGCAGAGTGATTCTTTTTTTTTAAAGCAAATTCTTGATTACACATGTGAAAGCAACATTTTTTATCACAACTTGACTTATTTTTGACGCATTTGTAATCAGTAACATGAAAAATGTCTTTTCTAAAATTATTTTATTTCCAATATAAACTCATAAAGTAGCGTGATCTGCATACTAAAAATCAGTTAAAAAACATTTTTCAGCCATTTTAAAATAACTTTTCGCTGATAAAAGATAGAAACCTGTAGCTTGTGTTGTCGTTTTCTTTCTAGATGAAATTTTAAAGCCCTTCCACCCCTCAGAAATCTCTCTTGAATCAGATATATTCAAGTTATATGAAGTTTCCAGAATATATTAAGACTATAGTTGACAAGCTATCGCAAAATTTTCAGTCCTGTATCATGATATTTTCGGGAGATATTCAACAAATAACGGTCAAAAATGGGCCATTTGAGAACACAAAACTCTTTGTAACCCTTCATTTTATATATGTACTTCTTTTTGTTTGAAAGAGCATGACAGAGCTTGACTTTTTTAGTATTCTAACTTGTTAAGTGAAGATAAGTTCAATGTCTTGAAAAACTCTCAAAAAACTGCCGTTCTAATTATAATAATACTTCCTCATATAATAGTAACAATGCTTAATTCAGATAGAGGGACTTTGTCATGCTCTACATCTTAACATGTTTTTTAAAATAAAAATAAAAATGCAATTACCTACAATGAAGCTTCTTCGAGAATTTTGAGATGCATGATTAAAAAGGCATTACTATAAAAAAAAACGAAAAAGAATTATTGCTTTTTCTGAAAATAGTATATTTTTCAAGTAGATGATAACAGAAATCATCAAAATATCTTAGGAAAAAATACGAAGTGTCAAATAAAAAAAATCATGTCATATATGAAAGATTAGATCTCGGATTATCTTCCCATTTATTTATCTTAAGATTTTTTTTTTTGAGAAAGGAGAGCCTTAACGAAGGGAATAGGTCATTTCGAATTGAAATTAGAATCGATGATTTCATATTATAAAAAGAACATGAAGACTAAGGACTCCGATACAATCCTTGAAATGAAATATTTGATTTCAATCCGAAAATAGCCGCTTTTACAAGTATCTAACCACATATTGTCTCCTGAAATGAATCATTTTTTGAAAAAAAAAATTTATAATAGGTAAATTTCCAACTTTATATAGATAAAATAACAACATAACAACGAAAAAATGTAAAATAAAAATCAAATCCACAATAAATTCAATTCTTATGTCATTCAAGACGAATAGGTTATTTATTACCTATGCTGTGTCACCACAGTGAAATGATTTCATCCATATCGAACTATATCGCTATTTTTGTAGTTAACTCAACACTAACTTTAGAGATGCACCAATTCCTAGAACATGATTTCAAAGATGATATTGTTTTTCTTATTAAGAAAATGGTTTCTCTGGATTGTTTATACCAATCATTATCAATTTTTTTCTGCTCTATCCTAAGTTGTAGTCGAAGCGCATGAAATACAAAACAAAGGTTTCGAAATTAGCTGAAAATCTGGATTTGTTTTCTTGGTTTGTTTTTTTTTTCTTTTGACTAATTTCAATTGATTTTAAGATCTGTATTTTGCATCAGACAAAACTTACGAATGTCTTTAGAAAAAGCGTTCAAAACTGATCACAACTTGCATAAAGAATCGCTAGAAGTTCACCAAATCTCAATATTGGAAATATTTTAAACTTTGATTATAAATTCAAGAAATTTGTTTATCCATGCTGACAAAAAACATCAGCCCAGTATTGAACGCTCTTTCCAAATCTATTCTTAGGTTTTGTCGAATGTCAAAACGTAGATCTTAAAATCAATTAGAATAGGTCAAAAAAGAAAACTAAAAAATGGGAATTTTCAACTGATTTCAAAACTTTTGTTTTGCATCTCATGACCTCTGATTACCATTTCGGATAGAGCAAAAAAAAAACTGGTCATGGTTTATATAAACAATCCACAGGAACTACATTCTCAATACGGAAAAAACTTGTCATCTTTGACATCGTGTTCTAGGAACTGGTGCATTTCTAACCAACTCTACTATATGAATGTCAGGAAGTAAAGAGTTAAATAGTGGAAAACAATCTGTTCAATTTACACTGAACGCTCTTTGTATTAAACGGAATGATTTGTATGCATGCGTGGTATGTTGATATAGATTCAAAACTTTGTTTTTTTTTATAATGGAAAAGACAAAACATTATCATATTGATATAAATATTATTTCCTTGTAATTTCTACATTAACTAATTAAATAAAATATCGATTTACTGATGTGAAAAAAAAATTTTTTTGCTTCAGATCTATGGAAGAATACAAATTTTTAAAAAGTTTCTTGCCTTAAAATACTAGTGAATTGATTATAATTATAAAAAAAAAAAGACATCCCTATATATCGATTGAGTTTTCATATTACCGAAATATCGAATATTGTATCAATGTTTAAAATACTTTAGTCAATTTAAACTATATTTGAACTATAAGAAATTAATAATACTAAGATAACAATACGTATTTTTATTTTTTAAAATACAGTTTGTGCTATGTAATAAAATTTTTTGTCATAGAAAAAACGGATTTATTTGTTTTTACGAGCAATTCTTTTTTTTTTCAAATATAAACGAAAATTTTTATTTTACGCACGTAACTCACAAATAAAACTGTTCTATACAACAAAAAGAAACTTATGTTATTTGTCATATTTAATTTCCGTTTAACAAAGAAAATGAAATCCCGTAATATATATACTTTTCTTTTTTTAGAAATTCCAATGATTATTGACAATGCCATATCATCCCCAATTATCATTATGGAACATAATAATCTAACAATGAAATGCCAAGCTCGAGGTCGACCTATACCCTATATTACATGGTATCGTCGTAGTGAAGATGGAAAAAATTCTAATAATAATAAAACACGATTAGATAATCAAATTTTAGCTAATAATACTGATGGTTTATTTCATTTGATTAATATTAGTCGTTATCAAAGTGGACATTATGAATGTCGAGCTTCGAATGGAGTCAATGATCATGTTGTTAGTAAAGATATTGAATTGCGTGTCCTTTGTAAGTAAAAATGGAATACATATTTTTTTTTTTCGCTAAACATTATTATATTTATTCTTCATACGAACAATAGTTTCATTGTATCGTTTACTTTTAAAAAGAATAGACTATAATATCTATTTTGAATATATTTAAAAGTATAATTCAATGAAGAATATTAAATATTAATTCTTTCTAATGAATAAAACATGCGTAGACTATCAATAGAAAATAAAATAGATATTTTTAGTAAAAAACAAACAAACTACGCAATAAGAGTAAGAATAGTAATTTTGACTAATTAAAATTTATCTTTAATAATATGTTTATATTTATTGTTTTATTTTTCAACAATTCTTTTTATTTTCTTCTTTTCTATTTTAATATATATTTTATATCAATATGAACATTTATATTAATGATATTTTCTTTATCTATAAATCAATTTTAATTATTGCCCTTCAATAATATACATACAGCTTCATGTTTCATAGAAATGACCGTTTTCATGACCAGAAGATTTATTATTATGACGTAGAGAAATATTGCTTTTGTGCAGTCATTTCTATTTATTCCCTAACGCAAATTCACATCACTCACAGATGTTTTTTATGAAAAGAGAACGATGATGAAGAACAATTGTTCTTGACAGAATAAGAGATGCCGACCATCGGCCGACGGCGCGCAAGATTGCATTTGACCTCAATTATTTTCATTATCAGTACATTGCAAGCAACAATAAACAAAAGCATGAGAAAAGAATAAAAGAAAGAAGGAGAACTTGACCTATGTCTATCGGCTCTATTCGAGAGAAACGAGGAGTATATCCGGAAATGGTCGGCGCCGTCATTTAAGCTGACCGATCTCAGTAACAAAAATAGACAAGCTTTAGATAAATCTTTATTATTCATAGTTCTTTTTTAATCTCATTCATTAGAAAATATAAATAATGTACTAGCTAGAAATAAAACGTAATTTCATAATAAATAAAACAGTATGATTTTCTCGGAATAAAAAAAAGACTATTAAAATGTCCTACAGAGAGCATAATTCATGTTTCTATAACTTCTACGTTTTACTATGCAGGTCACCTTCAAATGAAAAAAAAATACTGTTTGTTAACAAACACATCAAAGTACTTTAAAATTCTTATGAATGTCAAATATAAGAATAGCTTTGTTTATAATATGTAAGTGTGGAAACAATTTACGTATATGAATTATTGCATCACTTGGTGACTAATATATTTTTGGTGAAAACGTTTGACATTATATAAATACGCGAACGTTGAATTTAAAACTATACAAATGATATTTATCCTTGATTGACCTTAAAAGCAAATATATCATGTATCTTAGAATAAATCCGATGAATAAAAATGTTTTCATTGAATTATTTTAAAAAAAGAGATAAATGTATATATATAAATGAATTTAATGATTATCAGTATATAGTTATATCTTTGAAAAATCATTTAGATATATTTTTATCATTCTTCTTGTTTCTTTCTTTTTTTGCATTGATTATTACTTCCCCTCCAACATCTTTCTGCTTGCTGTGTCAACTTCCAATGTCATTACTACGCTAAAAGAAAAAAGTAGGAGTAACTTGCACGCAATATGTAAAAAAGGGAGAAAGAGAGGGAAAGAGAGAGAGAGAGAGAGAGAGCGATAAAAAAAAATAAAAGAAAAAGACAAAGTCCACTGGCCAGATCGCTTATTGCAGAGTTTCTCTTTCTCTCTCTTCCACTTCCTTCCTTCTCTCTCTCTCTCTTCTTAATCTCTCTTTCTTCTTCGTCGCGTCTAATTGTTGTGTTGTTGTTCACTATCATCCTCGTCATCACCAGCTTTCTCTCTCTCTCTCTCCCTCTCTCTCTATCTCAGTTACTCTCTCGTTTGCGCTTTTCGTTATTTCTCGCTCAGTCAAAAACACAGATGATCGCCAACACTATCTACACGTCTACTTCGATCTGCTGACGTCATCAACACAACATCTTATAGTCGACTTAAAAAATAGTGTCACGCATCTTTTCAAGGAGCATTCTATATTTATCAAGTATATTTTCATCATACACATATATACAATTTCATTGTACCGTTAAATTGTCTGACACTTCCATTTTTTTTAAACAAAAGCAAAGAATATGACATCCTGGTTTGTTATTATTAACATTATCCTTCTTCTATCACCTTCCTTTTTACAAGCTCGTTATCGAGCTCAATCAAAACGACGATATTCAATGTCAACTCAATCATTTGTACCAACATTCTCTTCGAATAATATTAATAATAATAATATTTATGCTGATGCTGATGAGCTGCAAGGAAAAACTAATGATAATTATTGGATTGATTCAATAAAAGTAACAACACGTACGTCATCATCAATGCCACAATATAAAGCAAATGAAGAACAAATTGAACAATTTACACGTCTTTTATTTGAACGTTTAAATTTAAAAGAACCACCAAATGTAACAATGAATGCCAATGATGATACAGGTTTACCATCATCAATATTGAAACAACTTGAACAACAAACTAAAGAACAGCAACGTTTCCATGATAATGAAGAAAATAATTATTATCGAAAACAAAAAGCTCATGATGAATTAATGCCAACAGCTGAACGTGCAATTTTACCTGGTGATCATATACCAAATCATACATGTCAACGACAATTATCAGTTAAATTAAATCTTGCTGAACATTATCTACAAAATATTGATTGTTTTCGTTTTACAAAATCACCAAAAGAATCAACAAGTTTACCAACAAATCAAGCTGTTAATGAATTACGTTTATATGTAAAAAGGAATTATTTTCATTTAAATGAACAACAACAACAACAAGGTCAAATACAACCAGATATGTTTCAAATTTATCAAATATTTCGACCAACATCAAATGATACAACACAACCGCCACTAACGGGTCATACAGATACAATACGTTTATCAGTACGTGAATTTAGAGCATTAAATGACGATTGGTTTGAATTAATTATTGTGCCCAATGATGACAGTATAAATAGAACAACAATTTATAATCAACTTATTATGCCTTGGTATGCACTTGCAATTGATCGTGATCTTCAATTCTTATCATCATTGAATCGTCATTATTATCGACAATATCATTCAAAAAAACATACATCATATCCAAGCCGTTCAGACAATGATGATGAAAATAATAAACAAACTCAACAACAACTTCCATATATGTTAGTTGAATATGGTGATAAAATTCCTCCATCATCATCTGGACGTCGTGGTACACGTGATGCAACAGCACGTCCAGCACGTGGTTGTCTTCCAACAAGCACATGTTGTCGACGTTCACTTACAATTGATCTTGATCAAGGTAGTAGTGCATTAAATTTTGTTATCTATCCAAGACAACTTGATATTGGTGAATGTATTGGTTTATGTGGTACAAGTGGATCATCACTTAAATATACAGATGTTAAAAATGCCCAACATAGAAATGAACATAATTCAGCATATAATCTACTTTTACTTCAAAATAGTTTACATTTTAATAGAAGTGCAACAACAATTGCTAATCTACATGATCAACAATCACCACAATGTTGTTCTTATTCACGTACAAGTGGTCTTGAACTTATGTATACAACTAGAAATGGTGGACCAATTATACGGAAATTTATACCAAATATGGTTGTTGAAGAATGTAAATGTGGATTACCGGCTACAATCCAGCAAGTATAGAGACAGATTGACACTGTTCTAATAAGTTTCTCGTCGTAGTCATCATTGTTGTCATTACTGTTGTCTTCATCCAGCTCTGTGATAACACATCCCATACAGAAAATTTAAGACCGGAGGGTAAGACTCACGGAAAGTTAGAAAAAAAAAATATACATAAATAAAAAAAATTCTTGTTCGTCGAGCTCGGTGATTTCAAAATATCTTTTTTCTTTTTTGTCACACACACTCTCTCTTTATGGTTTTCTCTAATTTTTCGTCATTGTCATTTGTTGTCTGTTGTGCGTGTGTATATGTATGTTTATCTATTATTTTTCTTTTCGTAATCTAATATGCCAAGCGCACAAGTTTATTGACATCTAAGATCTTTGTACTCTACTGATCAGTCGCTGCTGCCGATCTTGATTAGTAGTTTGCTTTGTCTCTTCTTATACTTATTGACTTTACTGCTTCAATCGAGGTAAATACTTTCGAGTGCATTCAGTAAGGCGAACAGTCGAATCGCCCAGTCCAATCGATGAAAAAATTTTACTTCTTCTGTTTTTGTCTAATCTTCTTCGTAAATAATTGTAAATTGATTGATATCAATTATGATATATCGAAAAAACTTTGTACTTATATAATTAGAACTTCAGCCGACGATAAGTTAGACAAAAAAAAAGTTCTGGCATACGATGAAGAGTATTGACTTGCGTATTAATGATGTTGAACTTAAAGGAAAAATTCAATAAAAAAAAACATCAGGAACAAACGAACATTTTACTTTCATGATTTATCATAAAAGTATATATATATATATATATGGATGTGGAATCATAGAGATTTCTAACTGAAAAAAAAACAACTTGTGCAAAACATTTTCACTATATTAGTGAATACAATTTTAAATATCCATTATTATTTGTTTTTTGGCACAAATACATGTTTGACGTTTTCTTCTTAATGTTAGTTCCTTGTGAGTGAACAAATTCCATAAGTTATTATTATTTTTTTTCTTTCTTTTAATTTGTGTAACAAATACTATCATCTTCTTCTGACTCTTCTTCGTTTTTTCTTGCGTATGAGAGTATATACATGTAATTGTGCGTGTGTGTGTGTGTGTATGTGTATATATTAAAGAAACATAACTATCGTCGTCGTTCGATGAAAAAAAAAATAATTTGATATCTTTCGAACTAATATTGTTGGTGCCCTTGCTTGCCAAATGTCATTGTCAACTGTGACAACAAAAACTAAGAGATACATATATACTTGATAGGTTGAAATATATGTCAAAGTATATATCAACAATTATATGAGAAGATGGATATAAGAATAGTAAAGCATATATGAAGGTCAAATATGTGATTGTTGGAATATAAAAATATGATATATAATCCTATTAAAATTCTTTTTTTTTTATTTTTCTCGAATTTTTTCTCTAATTATATCATAGGCAGAGGTCACATGATACAATCAGTAGAGTAAATTAAGGAATTCAGCTATGTTATTTGAAATTATTACGATCATCTCTGTATTTATAATATCTCGTGAGAATTGAAAAGGAAAAAAAGGAAGACAACATATTTTAACACTCGAATGAGTTAAGATCGTACTACTTATTTATGCATAATCAAATGTGTGGGTTTACACAAAAAAAAAAAAAGCAAAAAAAAACTCATTCGTGATTTATGACAAAAATAGAAAAGAGTAAATCATGCACCTGTTAAACTCACGCAAACTTTTAATTGCAAATATACATTTCAATTAACACAAAAAGACGAACATATCTATTTATTCAGTGCATTTTATCTAAAACTTTTAATCCATTGACATTTATCGAAACTCAATTATTATTTAAAACAAAAAAAAAACATAGCATAGAAGGTCATAGGTATGAGTTCTTGAATTTTATTGCCTCTTGGATTTTATATGCATACATAAGATTAATATTTCTCGTACGATTTACCTTGAACAAGAGGAGACTCTAATAAACATTTGTATGTATACAGCTTCTATCAATTTATGTCATATGTATTCAAACAACAAAAAGAAAAATCTCTTTATGACCTTGTTAATGATTATATTCTAGTTATACCATCAATTCGAGCACAATCTACACTTGTTCATAGTACAATTGGAAAATCAATACATCTACGTTGTTCAGCTACAGCACCATTTGATACATTATTATATTGGCGTCGTATTGATAATCATAATATATCAAATCAATCGAATAGATTTCGTCAACAACAAAATATACATGGTCATATTTTACATACAACATTATATATAAAAGATATTGAAAAAACAGATTTTGGTTTATATGCTTGTTATGCTGAATCAAAAGCTGGTCACAGTAAAGCTATTATTGAATTGAAAGGTAAATATCTACTTTTTGACAGATAAGTTTTTTAATGTAAAAAAAATTGTTTTTTATCTAATTAAAGAACATCATCGTCCAACAACAACAACAGCAATTGGTACTTCAATTACATCTCAAATATTAGGTAAAAATGAATTAATTATAACAACGACAACGATACGGGCACAATTACTTAAACGGAATAGAAGTAAAATTTGAAAAAGTTTTAATTTAAGAAAAAAAAAAAATTTTTTTTCTTTTATATTTAGTTTCTATTCAAACAACAAATATTACAAAAGCTAATTTTGCATCGTCATTATTTATTTCATATTATCTATTAATTTTACTAATGTTTTTTCTTTATTTGTAATAATAAACTTTTTTTTTCTATAGTCTTAACGTAGAATAAATAAATGTCTTTATATGTTGTTTCTAATTATTGTTTGTTTGAATGAAAAAAAAAAAATGAAAAACGACGACTAACGAGATAAAATAAAACTTCTGAAAAAAAAAATCTAATTAACTTTCTTGTTTTTTTGAAAATGATAAATAATCAATCTGATCTTTTAATGAATTTCTTTCAACAAACTCACATGGGAAAAATGAGTTTAATTACATTAATGCAAAATTTACCAGATAAGATATTACCAACTATCCCAGAAATAATCTATGATAAAAATGGTCGATATTTAAAATTAAAAGAAGATAATAGTATTAAAAAAAATTTTATAAAGAAATCAATTAAACAAATTAAACGAGATAATGAATCAATCAATGATATTATTCAACAACGAACTATTTCAGGTTAATCCAAAGAATTTATTTCTAGAACTACATGACATATAGCTTTTTATTATATTCAGATTAGATTTTTTTTTAATTTTATCTACTCTAATGTATAAATGTTTTATGATTGTATGACAGTTTAAGATCTAAAGAAGTATATAGAGTTGAAATCATGTTAAAAAATTATTAATTTAAAATCTTTTCTAAACAATATCAATATCACGAGACCAGTTTTTTGAATCTCACGCGATTGATAAATTACACGTGATTAAAGAAAAACAAAGAAAAATTATTCATGGACAAGACCTAATTTAGAAATGAGATTTTTTTCTCTTTTCTTTTAATAAGTCATTCATAGTTCTGCAATTCAAATGTAATTAACAATATTATTTAATTTTCTTCTTATTCTTCTTTTTTTTTTATAATTAAATTCTATTCTTATAATTTTCCATAAATTATACATGAATATAAAATAATGATTTTGAAAATAGATTTTATTTATTAGTTTCATCAGTATCTCCAATTGAAAAACAAATATCAAAATTATCAATTGAACAACAATATAATTGTATTGCTAATGAATTTAAACTTTCATCATATGATATTGAAAAACAGTATAAATTAGCATTAAAAAATCGTATTGAAATTCCACCAGTATTAATGCATCGTATTATAATTGATACAATTAAAATTCTTTATATAATGATTGATGATTTAAATCAAGATATTGTAAAAAATAATGAAAAATTTCAACGAATTTCAAAACGACTTAATGAACTTCAAATATATAATAAATTATTTGATCATCATTGTTAGAAAAGCACATTATTTATTTATAATTGTAAAAGAAACAAGATACTTTTTAGAATGTTACATAGAATTATTCAAATACATTCTAATAAGATTACTCAGAACTATGCATTGAATCAAAAAAAGAAAAGTTTTTTTTTAGTGTTAAATATAATGGAACTTAATTAAAATTGAATTCAGTCTTATGAATAAGATATAATGAAGATTTAGATTCTTTTTTCTCATTTACATTATTGTTATTTATAATATAATTGCACTCATTCAAAATTCAAAGCCTACTCGTAAGATTGTATGTTTTTCTTGGAAAAATGGAAGGTCGTTTCATGTAGAATGGGTTCATGTAAACAAAAACCAAGTACAATATAGTAAATGTTGATATTGATTATCAATAAAAAAAGAGAACATTGTGTTCAATGCAACATATTACTTTCTAATGAAACATCCAAAGATTGAACCAAAAAAAATTAATATAACATAAATTTCGACGAGTTCAACATCTTAGCAATAGTACTTGAAAAAATATTCCTACAAATAATAATGTGTCAATTAAGTTTCGTCTAGTGATGAATAATATATTATTTGAATATTAATTGGTTCATTTGAAAGTTTTTTTTAATGAATATTTTAAACTCATATATTGATATTTTTAAGATAATCGATTCCGAGATACTGAAATTTAACCTTAGAAACGAAAGAATTCATGGAACAAAAAAAAACCAATCAACATACAATATTTTATAATATTAATAAACTATTCATAAGACTAAGTTGAAAGTACTGTTTAGGTATTTGTATATATATTTGAGAAATATCATTAATTTTCTATTTCATACATATTTCTACAAAAATAATATTTTCTTTCAATTTATTTTTAAAAATTTAGCGTCATAATTATCTTTGATTATTTATTCAAATTTATGATATAGGAATGTGAAAATTTTAAAATAAAACATAAGCAGACAACTAATAAATATTCATTGTCTGGAGAAAATAACAACAAAGAAAAAACAATTTGCTATTATTAAACTAATTCTCAAGAGATTCTCAATACTTAGACAAGCTAAAAAAAGCATATATGTTACTATTTTCAGTCAAAAGATTATTGCATCAGAAAAAATAATTGTTGAGTAGGCTGTCTTCGTACAATTAATAAGAAATTCTATAATCAATAGAACGTTTAATTAGAACTTTTATATAAGTTCTAAGTATATATGTATAATGAAAATGCTTAAAATACATTCCTTTATATTCTAAAAAAAACAAGAATCTTGAAATTTTGAAATATAACAACGATAGAAAAAAAAACAAAATCTCAAATTAAAATGTATTATAATTCTTCAAAGTTTTTCATAAATATTTCACTAATGTTTATTTTCAAAGCTTAATTATTATCAGAATATGTTATAGAAAGAGCTTTTTGAATTAGAATGATTTCCTTAGTTAGTAAAATATCTATCATCTATGTAAATTACTTTTTGAAATAGAATTTGAAGAATAACATACAAATAAACTTCGAGAAACAAGAATTTTACAGTATTGACTTCGGACAATTATCAAAAATTTGTATTTTTCTCGTTCACAAAACCGATAGTTCATTAAGAAAATATAACTGTCAATTATTGTCAATAACCCAGTTAGAACTATAAATCCATCAATTAATCATATTTGTAAAGTCCGACTGTCATCAATGTACTCTTTTCAATTAATTCATCTGGTATGAGTGGCGCGGAAACATGGACACCCACGATCACACACACTCTATATCTCTAATATCTGTATTTCTTATATATAGTATTTCATTGAGTTTCTGAGAAAATCCTAAAGAAACATCTAATAGCGAGTATATTTTTGAATTTACGTCAGATTAAATTGTTTTGTGAACGATATGTACATATTTTTTAGCTTTGGTTTCGTTTTCGATTATTTTATTATTCTTTATTTGCTTTCTACGTTCATAATTGGAACAATTTTATGTTTGATCTTGAACTGTTTTTCAGGTACTCGCTCTCTTCTGCTAATTCAATGTGATATACTTTTTCTTTTTTATCTCTTCCCTGGATAGCCATAAAATTCAGTATAATAAAGCATATAATAAAGAAAGAAATTATAGAAAACTGTTACTATTAATATCAATAAGCGAACAAATAAAAAATGCGACCGTATGATTAACAACAGTGGCGGATCTAGAAATTTTTCAATATGGGGCGATTATTCACATAAAATGTGTTTTGGAGCTCTCTAAAGGTAGTTCCAGCTTCATTTTAAGCGTTTTCTTCTAGATAAAGACCGGTTTTTTGTTCTGTCGTTATGGGGCGATCGCCCCAAGCGCCCTCCCCCTAAATCGACCACTAATTAACAAATCGATAAATCAAACAATATTTAGAATAGCTTTTGCCGTATTTACATCGGTACTTAGTAACAACCATTCTGTACATAATAATGTCAGCAATCTATTACTGAAAATCTATTGTGAAATATATCCATTGATATGTATTATTGGTTTAATGAAATTCAATATTTCATTTTGATTTTTTTTTGAATTTTGATTGAACATAAGAGAAAATGAAATTAATTTGTAATTTTCTATTGAAAATATTTTAGACAAAAAAGTAAACTTCAAACAATAATGAAATCATTTTTTCCAAATTCAATAATTTTTTGTTTCTTGTAACGAATATTAATTCAATCATTTTTATGAAATTTAATATGACAATAAAGTTCATTTGCCTGTAATTTTTCAATTTGTTATTGAAGAGCATTTTCATTAGTTTACTCGTCGACTTTTTTTTTCAATATATTCTTATTATTCGAGAGTATTTTGATAAATTCATTTGATTCGCGCAATTTACTCGTATAAGACTGACACTCACTAACAGAAGAATTTGCTCTGATCCAAAACAATCGGATAACAAATTTTGCCATTATGCTGTTGTAAAAATTGATCATCAAATGTAAATATCCTTGCCTGTTATTATAAATATTACTTATTTCCTACATTTTCTTTTACCTCTTCATTGTATGTCCCATCAAATATTGTTTTTAGTATCATAATTAGACTTTTTGGCAACGCTCCGACTGGAAACGTATACATCTCAAATAAATTCGTTCTATTGAAATCTACAGATAAAATGTCATTTCAGAATTCGTCTTCTTTGCATTTATCTTTAACTAATTGCAGTTGATATTCGATCATCGGTTTAGTTGTGGAGTGTGGATGTGGATGTGTGACTGCATAGAAGACCTATCAACTCACTCATACGAACATGTGCATTCACCTATATCCTTCACTCCTTGAATTTCATCTTAAAGAATATAAAGATGATCATCTTACTGGTATGGAACTCGATATTAACTGTAGAGAAGGTGTGAAAAAGAAAACATACTATTAAGTTATCATTTTGTTTTTCATCTTATGTTCTTGTATGCTATTGCTCATATTTCTTTCAATAAAGCAGATGTCAGATGATTATTCGATTAATAAAATATCATATTGAAATCTTTTTAGAAATTAGTTAGAGATGAAATTTTACCAATTAAGAAAGGTTCCAGTCGAAGAGTAATCCAAAAATATTATTATCTTATTTTTATGGAAGTAAATTAAGTAAATAACTGAAACTAGAATGATATAATAATGCAGAATCATAGAACTGAACGTATTCGAAAAACTAGAAAAACATCAATCGGTCTGGTTTGACCTCTGAGCAGTTTTACTTTCTATATGATGAAATAGGAGCTCATAAACAGGGAACCATTATGGACAGTTTCCTTCGTTAGTTATTAATTATACATTGGAATGAAAAAGTGATTGATAAACATTGTATACTAACGTACGTATTCATTATTCTTGATAAGATTGAATAGATGAAAGTATTTTTATTGAAAATTCGATAATATTCACATCATTATATATTGAACTTGTGGAATAAAAATGTGCATCAATCAGTTCGACTTGTATTTATCTTTTTTAATTATTTTCTATCAAAAAAAAAATCGACACTTCAGATGTTTTTCTAAAAAGTTATAACATAACTTAAAATCATTTCATTTCTTTATTGTGAAAAATACACCAAAAATAATAACGAAACTCATATATCAATTTAATGAAGCGGTTTCAACTTTGGATTCATCGTGCATATACAAAACAAAAAATGATGACTGTCATATTTAATGGCTTCATTCTTTTTGTCTTTTCCGATCGGAAAGTATAAAGACCCACAGACGCTCGATTAATATTTGTTGTACTGTAATACAATGCTATCGTGTATGAAATGAGACATTTCTCTGAAGTCATAGATAAAAGAATATCATTCTTTGATTGAAGAAAACTCAATGTGATCAAATTTTGATTATGGAAATGGACAATAAACAGAAAGAACATCATTCTCTCATGTTTTTATTTCTTCAATTATCAGTATATATGCATTCGTGTGATTTAAATGAGAACTTTTCTTTTTCATTTTTACATTCAACATGTTCAAAACATGTTGCTTATGTCAATGGCATATTCAAAGATTGATGTTTTTGTACAATTCAATCGTATGAATACTGTTATATTATTAATTGATGAACGTTGATCATGTAAGAGTCGGAATATGTTTAACTTCAATTCATATACTCATCTAATATTGACGATTTAATGGATGTTGTAAAACTTCTGTATGAATTCTACTTTCAGTATAGCGTGACACAACTCGTCTTGAAGCGTTATTAGAAAGAGTAAAGTCTCTATTACAAAGCTGTATAAAAATATTTAGTTCGAAATACTTACACAAGACTGAAAAGTTTCAAGAATATGTTTCATTGGAAAAGTATCTTGTAATTTCATACAAAATCAATGATAAGAAGTGTATTTGATCGATTTATCTTGCACTTGGCTTTCGAAATTTTTAGGCACGTTAAGTATGAGTGTAACCAACGCGACGCGAGCTTTCTAGTGATATTAAAATATTTGAGTTATAAAACTAAAGCTCCTGCAGGAAGTAATTTTATTAAAAACTTAATTTTCCTTCTTTAACGTCAAATCAAATTTTTCTCATAATGTCTAATATTCTATTTTATATAATGTGCTTTTGTAGAGATCTCATTAAACTCTAATATGGATTTTACTAACTTCGATTGCTAGAAAACTCTTATTTGTAGAAATTACTTATTAATTATGAACACTTTTCGTTAGCAAAGTCCATTAGAAAAATGTCGATTTCGAACTCAACCAATAGCTTACAAATTTTATTTTTACCTATTTATAATGTCATATTGCAGTGCTACAAAATCCGATAAAAGCCGAAAAATAAGATCAACTTTCTTAGCAGATGGAGGTTTTCGGCAACAGCAAGGAGGGCTGTTATGCGATGAAATCAGCTTTGTCTTGAAATTAAGTTTTTACATTTTCCAAACAGTCAATTTGGGCGTCGGGTATGGATTACCGCTCGAATTGATCAGTCAACTCTCAATCCTACTGCACACGATTGACTTAAAACTCGATATTATCTATTCCCTATAGGGTTGTAATGTGCAGTGTTCATTTGAATGGTTTTTCTTCTACTTTCAATACGTTTTGTTTGAGTTATATATTAAATGAAAGTTCATTCTTTCTGCTATTTGAATAGCATGTAAGAATATGACACAATATTCTTCTTTTTCTTTTTTTCTTTGGATAGTATTGTTCACTTGTGTATACAGTATAAGGGCACTCATGATGAAATTCTCTTTCTATGATGCTATGAAAGTAGCCATCCGCTTTGACGCTCTACAATATGCTGCTATTACATCAAGCTTAACTAGTGATTAAAACACTTTATTCAAACGCGCAATGTTCGAGAACGTTAAAGATTGTTCTTTTTATGACTAATATTTCACCAATTTTGACTTGAATAGTTAGGCTTTCTATCAAAATAAATGATATATTTGAAAATCAGCACAAAAAACTGAGTCAATCTATATATATATATCACAAAATGATACATCAACTTTTATTTTCTTCTACAAAAATCAACCTTGATTTCTTTCAAGGATATGTCCAAAAATAAATTCAGTCGAACCGTCAGTTCAACTATGTAAATACAGTTGTAAATTTTTAAAAAGCTAGAAAAACTCTAAATGAAAACTAAATAAATAATAAAAACGATGTTTTGATTGAATTTATTTTTTTGACATATTCCTGAGAGAAATCAAGACTAATTATTTTGAGGAAAATAAAAGTTGACGGATCATTTTGTGACATATATAGATCGACTCAGCTTTTTATGCTGATTTCAAATATATCACTTGTTTTGATAGAAAGTCTAACTATTCAGGTCAACATTGGTCAAATATCAGTCAAAAAGAGCAATTTTTGACGTTCTCGAATATTGTGTGTTGGAATGAAGTGTCTTAACCACAAATAAAATTCAATATAATAGCAGCATGTTGTAGAGCGTCAGAGTAGATCGCTACTTTCATAGCAGTATAAGAGGAGAATTTCATCATTGATACCTTTATACTATATATACAAGTGAACAATGCCATCTAAAGAAAAGAAAAACGGAAATAAGAATATTATGTCATATTGCCAGATATCATTCAAATAGCGGAAAGAATAAGCTTTCATTTGGTATATAATTCAAATAAAACGTGTTGAAAACGGAAGAAAAACTTTTCTAATGAACACTGCATACACCTACTCACACCCACACCCATCGGTTAACAAGCCTGCCTGCCATTTCAGAAACATGCAGACAACTTTTCCAATCAAACATATCATTAAAACTTTTCAATCTTCGATACGTATTTTGAAAAAAAAAATTATTATTACACTGCTTTGTAGTAGAAGCTTTGTTGTTTCTAACAAGTCTCCACGATGATTTTTTTGTCACGTTATACTGAAAACAAAACTACTAAAAAAACATTTTTGCACTATCCATTAACTAACCAATTGAAGAACGTAGACTTAAATTATTATAAAATAATTTAGAAGTTTAACAAGTCATACAAAATATGTTCATATGTTTTCTTGGTTTGTTACAAATTATTTGTTTTGCTTAAACTTATTCTACTGTTTTTTTTCGGATTATTTGAACAATATTAGAGAAAGAAAATGTCAATTACATATGTCTATTATTATAAATATCGTTATTATTATATAGCATGATGTGTTTGATTAGTTGACATTCCTAAATATAAAATATTTTTGAAAAATATAACTAGAATATAAATAAACTTACGTCTACGTCTATTAGGTATTATAACACATAGCAGAATCATCAAAATTGTTACAATAGCAACAATAGTAATTGAACTCAAGCCAATGGTTAATAATGGCCAAGCATAGTAGAAACCTGAATTTAAAAAAAAAGAAATGTTATTTTCATAGATCAAATTAATTAGGAGTTATGAATGATATTGTATAGTAAGACAAAATTAAAATAGCGAAATATCAGAAATATGCATTGCCTTATTAACAAAGCCTTGTGATGTCAAATGATTCTGTTTATATCACTAAATGGAATCCTGGTCTACTAATATATATTTCATTACATTTGATTTTCTAGGTCTAACATTTTTTAAAAACTTATATTCAGCTTTATAGATTTCAAAATCAAATTATTAAATCAAAATGTCATGGAAACATAAACGAAATCGTCTTACATCAAATTTGTTCTTCTACAATATTTCTAGGAGTAAGACAATATCATTCGCTGTTCATACAACTTTTTTTTACCTACCTAAACGGTCACCAGAATTTGCCATGTTGATCAACTAATGTATTATCTTCCTATTTGTCAACAATAAATATGACTTGCTATATTCTAGAAAAAAAGAACGATAGAGTAAACCAGTGTAACGTACGGATCTTTTTCTCTTTTTTTTTTCTTCTATCGACTATTTTTGTTCGCCTCACGTAATGCCAATTGCATGCGTGCCGTTTTCCGTTTTGACGGTTGATAGTACTGCAAAAAAATTCTTCTTCTTAATCTGTGTTGGTATTAATACCTCTCTGTATGTAAGCAAGAAAAAGAAAAAAAAACAACTAATCAGAGAACACACAGGAAGACACAATGGCCTTGGTTTCTTTTACTCTTCTTTTCTTTTCCTAGTTTCACTAAGATATTCCATACGGATGATTGAAAGACCTCAATAAACAATTTTCTTCACGTCGAATAATTAAATAGGTGACAAATTGTCTAGAGAAAAAAAAATGAACACTGACATAAGCAGATAAAATGAAGTATCAAAAATAATTCTGACAAGTAATAGAAAAAAAAATGATCGATTGATTTTAATGACAACTAATGAACAATTTCCTACTGAATAAGCAATATACTTGAAGAAGCATATACATGATTATTTAACATGCAAATCTATATTTCTCAATAATCTATTTCAGATTGAATAGAGAATATTTAATCAAAATAAAAATTAATACAATAGTGAATTAATATTTATGAAAAACTTAACATTCGATATCCGAAAGTGATGAGATACTGTTCAATATAGATTTTATTTATTTCTCTATTCAATAAGATATTCGATCTTTAAAGTCATATTAATAATCGTCTGAAAAAAAAAGTCGATTATATTCTTATGAAAAACTATTACGCACATTGAGTCTTTGTAGATGAACAATTTATAGATTCCATTAATAATGATTGAACTACTAAATGATCTCATCATTATTTTCAATGTCAATCTTATTAAACGTAAAATAGATTGATATAACTTGTCAGCTTTATTTTGTAATAGAAAATTCTATGTTAGATCGATGATTCTCAGCAGATAGACTGAATTTCTTCTTCTTATAAATATTCAATTTGTAACTTTTTATAAAAAAAATAATAATAATCTTTAAATGTTAAAATCTTCACAATAGATCGATTATTAATTATCGTTGCTATTCATAAAACAATTCATAATTTTCAACATAAAGATCCAAAGAAAAAGATTTCGATCATTTTCTATCTTATATTCATTGAAGGAAGTAACATAATGAAGTATGCAGAGTATTGCTTTGATAAACAAGGTTTACCACAGCATGACATCTATTATGATTAATATGATGTATTTTATTTTAATTGGTTAATAAATACGGAAAAAATAAATCATGGACTACGATCAAGCTGTCACCACGTCAGTTATTTCGTATATTAGTCTGTTGTTTTTTATTTCAAACTAATAAGCAATTCTGAATCATACACTTCATATTGTACTCAAGTTATTAAGTAAGAAAAACGTTTATCTTCATTTATAACCTTGTACATTATGTTCATATTCAAGAAATAATTTATTTCGATATAGATACAAAAATAGAAAAATTATATTTTCCTTTCGACTGTATTCATTAATTCGCATAATTGATTGTATAGAACTTATTTCAATATTCATAGTGTCATGAATATTTAATTATATGATCAACAATAAGTATGAATGGATAAGGCAAGATACTTTTAATTATTTTTCTTCTGTAAGAGACTGCAAAGTTTTTCTTTTTACGTCGTATATTTAGTCTCGTAATGTTTGCTGTACACAGCTATTAATAACTTCATATTGAATTACCGAATTCAATTTTTTTTTTTGCAGTCTATATCAATTTAATCTATCTATACTATATATATATTTTTAGTCGAAGTTTAAATACAATGAATTCAAATTTTTTAATTTCTTTTTTTGTAGATTTGTTTGTTGTTTCTCTCATTAAAAAACTTTAACAATCATGGCAGTAGCATCAATGTCCAGTTCAATGGAACAACCACCACCACCAATGTATAATACTCGAAGCACTTGTATGTAATCTAAATAATATTTCTTATTTTTTCGAAAATAAAATTTTTATTTTTTTTGTTCGTAGCTGTAAAACGATTAATGCGTGAAGCTGTAGAAATGAAAGAACCAACAGAACTTTATTATTGTCAACCAATAGAAGTTCGTAATTAATTAAAAATATGAAAATAAAATAAAATAAATTTCCTTTTATATTAAAAAAAATAGGATAATCTATTTGAATGGCATTTTACAATTCGTGGTCCTATAGCAACAGAATTTGAACAAGGTATTTATCATGGACGAATTTTATTTCCTGTTGAATATCCAATGAAACCACCATCGATTATATTACTTACGGTATGACTTGTTTTCATAATTAATTGATATATTGTAAATATATATTTTATAATCTAGGAAAGTGGTCGTTTTAAAACAAATGAAAAAATTTGTTTATCAATATCTGGTCATCATGTTGAAACATGGACACCAACATGGGGTGTTCGAACAGCTTTATTAGCTATTATTGGCTTTATGGAAACACCTGGTGAAGGTGCTTTAGGTTCATTAGATTATACACCAGAAGAACGAAAAATTCTTGCTAAAAAGTAAGAAAAAAAAAATTTCTGCTGAAGTTATATAATATAAAATTTTTCCATTGATTTGTGCATAATGCAACGATTCTTATTTATATTTTAACAAAGAAATCAAGATAAATCAATCAAAAGTTTTGAATAGAAACTTTGTCTTATAATAAAATACTCATATTATCATCTACAGAGTCCATTGGGACCAGCTCAACTTAAGACTCTTCCTCAGAGAAAGTCCATATCCGTCAGAATTATGAAAATTAAGATAAATGTATGTGAGGATAGCTTGAGGTCAAATCCTTCACAAACAATATAAGATTTTATTTTGCATATCGTTTTTTCCAAAATTTTCTTTACCTTGTACTTGACAAATATGCTTTTTTTTCAGAACAAGCGGAAAATCTTTTTTCGTTTTTTTCTCTGTTTATGTTTCTCTGATTGAGCATCCGCTGAATTCTCAAAGGAACTTCATTCTAGTCAATGGCTTTTTCTTTTGTTTGAAAGATTATATCTTCTGTAAATAGATGATAATTTTTTGAAGTATTGAACATGTCATTCTTTTTCTTTGCATACAAAATAAAAATTTATAAAAAGGGTTTTGTCACACACTGCAGTCTGACATGCTGTGTCAAATGAAAAAAGAAATTGAATATAGAGAATGAAGATCCTTAGAGAATTTTTAGTTGTCGAATGAGTTATTCTTGATCTTTGTTTGTTGAATATCTTCCGAAAACGTCATGATATACGGCTAAAAGATTTTAGCATAGCTTCTCCACTGCTACTCTAATGTATCTTGGAAACTTCATACGATTTGAAGGTATCTAATTCAAGATCGATTTTTGAGGGAAAGATTTAACATAATTAGGTTCTCAGGTGAAAGGCGAAGAGACTTGTGTAGCACAATGTAGTCGACATGGTTTCGATTGGTGAGGAAGTACTCAGCATCACTTTAGTTACGCCACTACTATCAAATATAGACTACACGTATAAATCATTTTTCTATTTAGTAAGATTTCTTTATTAAAAACCTATGAGAATCGTTGTCATTATAATTTATTTTGTTATAATTATCTTTTTTTTTTAATAGATCGCAATCATATGTATGTCCAAAATGTGGTGCAACTAATAGTCAAGTATTATTGCCACTATCAGAAAAATCAATTGATGCTCAAAAAGAAGCTAAAGAATTAATCAGTCAAATTGATTTCGTTAAAGTATATAATTTAATTAATTTAAAAACAAAAGGCAGAAATTTTTTTTCCTTTTTATTTTAGAAAGTTGAAACAAAAACTGAAACACCTTCATCAACATCCTTAGATGAAAATAATATTGAACCAACATCATCAGAACCAATATTAGATTCAAGATCGGATGTTTCTCCAATAACTACACCAAATACTACAATACGATCACCAACAAATACAATATTATTACCACGTCAAAATGAATCGAATAATAATCTATTAAGCATGTTTATCTTTCTTTGTTGCATGATACTATCATTTCTACTATTACGACGACTTTTCTTAACATTTGGTACAAGTCGATCATTTCCGCCATCATCAACGGATCCATTTCATGATGACTTTTGAACAGAAAAAACACCAAACAATATTATTTTATATTAAGAACAAATTTATGTTGATATATATATATATATCAATTTCTGCCTAAGTTAAAGGGATTATACTTATTGAAGTATTAATTATCAGCAAGGGTTCTTTTTTTTTCGGTTTATATTTATTCTCGTATGCACGTTCAGTTTTCTTCAACTATTAGTTGCTAATTTGTATCATATATTTCAACTTTTCTTTTTCTTTTTCTTTTTTATTAAAGTAGAAAACACGAAATAAGTCAGTGAATAAGAACAAAAAGAAATAATATATACATATATCATATGTGAAATTTTGATACCTATAATTAATTTAATAAATAAAAACTTCCAAGGGTAGGAAATTTTTGAATTGTTATTATTAAAATAATTTTTATTCAAATTATCGAAATCAATTTAAATGAACTCAAATTTTTTTTATTGAAACATATTTTTGTATATCAAGTGGATCATAAATGACTAGACAATAAAAATACACAGCATCTCCAGTCTGCTTTAAGCAATTGATCTGGTATTTTTCTCGGTAATAGAAGACTCTTCAAAGTTTTTATTTACAAGGAAAGCGTCAAAAAATACTATTTTCAACTAGCATTATTAATCTCAATAAAGAAATACACTACTGGCCAAAAGTATCCTCTTGTGATCTCAGCTGTTCTTACAGAGACATGTTTGAAATTTTTAGCATATGTACTACATTAGAAATGATGTTTTATGACTCAAGAAGGGAAGGAACTCACGACGTGATTAGCCTATAATTATGTAAAATATCTCCAGTTATTGAACGCTAATATGAAACTCGATAAAATTTATAGCATCAATAACCTCATGAAAGGACTATATAATGATATTTTTACCGAGACACAAGCTTTTACTCTTCTTGAGTTATAGGACTCACATTGAGAAAGATGACTATAGATTATAACTCAATTCAAACAAACAAGTTCGGGTTGGTCTCACTAGCCTATATTTCTAAGTTAGTATATACCCTAAAAATTTCATATGTCTACCTCTGAGAATGACTGAGATCGTAGAGTAGGATACTTTTAATCAATAGTGTATATCTTCATTGAGTTCAGGAGTGTTTGTTCTGCACAGTATCTATTTGACATTGTCCTTATGAATAAAAACTTTGACGAGTCCTTTATTACTGAGAAAAAAACCAGTCCGATTGATTAAAGTATACTGGAAATATAGAATTTTTTATCATCTAGTTATTTATGGACCACTCTAAATACGCAATTAAATATTTAAATAAATACTATTTTATAAAAATGTTTCCATGAAAAGAATATTTATATGAACATTAAACAGAAGTTATATTTTATAAACTAGAAGACTACGTGATTATTTATTGCCTCGATTCATCTTTTAAAAATTTCTAACTAGGATGAGAGATACGCTTTTGTTTTTTTAATAATAATGGATGGGACAAAAATATCCTTCATTAATTTTGCTTTTAGTATAGCGTGATAACAAATTGTCGTGGAGATTTATTATAAAGAGTAAAGTCTCTACTAACAAGCTGTGTAAAAATATTTTTATTTCATATTACTTAACGAAGGCTAAAAAGTTTTATTTCTAATGATTTTTGCCAACAAAAAATATTCATAACCAATAAGTAATTTCGAAAAATAAGATTTTTTCCATTCATCGAAGACCCTATATTAGAGTTTAGTGAGATCTCTAGAAAAGCACATTATATAAAACATTATGAAAAAACTCCACTAAACACTTTAGGAAAAAGAATTCGATATTTAATAAAAATTGTCTCCTATGGAACTTGTAATTTTATAACTCGAATATTTTGATACTAGTAGAAAGTTTGCATCACGCGTTGGTTACATGTATACATAACGTACCTAAAAATTTCACAAGCCGAGTGCAAAACAAATCAATAAAATACATTTCTCATCATTGATTTGGTGTGAAGTTGTAAGACACTTTTTCAGTCAAACATGTTATTAAAACTTGTCAACATTTGGTAAATATTTTGAAAGAAATATTTTTATACAACTTTGTAGCAAAGATTTAGCTCTTTCTAATAAGTCTTAATGACAATTTATTATCACGCTATACTGAAAATAAAATTAATGAAGAATATTGTTGCATTACTTCTTATTACGCACGAACACAAAAAATTTTAATTATAATTCATACGACTTCATTTATTAGACTTTGCTTTTAAATAGATCAAGAAATTTGTCAGGAAATTTTTGTTCTACTTATTAATTAACTAGATCGAATAGTCTTATAATGTTCATATGTTTTAATCTATATGACTGTATCTATGAATATATTTATTTTCAATTTATATTGATTGAAAAACAGAATGAGTAAGTATACTTCTTCAAACATTGAAATATTATTATTTCAATAACTGTCTTTTTTTTTTGTTTTTTGAAATATTCTTTCTACAAAATCTTCATTGCAAATATTCGTAAATTATTCTCGTTAGTTTTTACAGTTAATATATATAATCAGTTCGAAAGAATATTCATTGCTTAATCTAATTACTAATATTAAAAATAATTTTATATTGTATTCTAGATGAAAAAAAGAAAGAAAAGAAAGATGTATCTGAAAATATCATTGAACCTAATGTGTTCAATTAATACGTAGAAGAACTGAGTGTCATATTACTTAAGTTTATTTAACACATTTTTACTGTTCCTATTCTTATGAGAAAATATTTGCTATAGGCGTTTTCACTGAATGACCTTCTAGTAACTATCTATTTTATGACTTCAACATCGTATCATCTTTTGAATACTAAGAAGTCTGTTTAAAAACTTCGATGCTGACTTATTTACTACAAAAACAAAACAAAAGAAAGAAACGAATATAAACATTAGGTCAAACTAGTCGACATAAGAATATTATTTTAATCTCATAAGATACATAAGAGACTATCACCATATTTGATTACATTTATATGATCTTTTTTTCTTTAGAAACACATAATAAAAAAACCAAAGTGTTCAATAACAATATTCTCTTGTGTTTAAATATATATATATTAAATTATATTAATATTCATAGATAAAATAATGATATATTTTGAGAGAATATATAGTTTTTGAAATAAGCTATTCAAATTTTTTAATAAAAGAAAAAAAAAGAGAATATTCATTGTATAAAGACTAATAAAATTCATTTTTATTATTATCAATGATTTTAATACAAAGAAAAACATCATTCGATTTTATATATAGATTAATACGTTAAATATTGAGAAAATATTATTATGCTTCAAGCAATAATAGTATCATTTTATCCTATTTATCGACTATGAATAAAATATACTCTTTTGTTATTGAGGAAAACTCTCCATGTGTTAATTGATTTGTTCAATAGTAAATAGAATAAAGACAATAACAAAATTATAAAAAGAAATAAAAGAATAATTTGTTATTGCCACCACTTATGAATCTACCTTTTTTTTTTCTTTTTCTTCTTTCAAAATAAAGCCAATCATTTTTTTTTGTTTTTGATGTTTCTCATAGGCGTTTGGCCTTGTAGTAGATTTTCATGATATTTTACATGTATGTGCCAATTACTTACATAAGATGACAAATTTGGAAAACAAACAAATGAATTGCCTTGATAAATTGATTATTAACTGCCAGTTATGAATGACATTTCATAATCATATGTCATTTAGATCGACATATACACTAAGATACTTATTCTGGAGACAATTATACTGAGTTTTTGTTTTAGTTATTTATCATTTATTAGCTTTTATCTTAATTGAATATATTATTGTTATACAAATCAATTCTGAAAGCAATATATATCAATTATCTATAAATACACACAATAGATAATTAATAAGTGTTTAGAAAAAGATCAACAAACATCTATTTGAGTATTAGATTAAAGTCTTTTGCTACTGAGCAAAGATGATATATTAATACATCTGTTTTTTTTCTATTGAACTTTATAAATAGACTATTAATTAAATCTTTTGGTAATCCTTCATAAATGATTGAATAATAAAATAGAATTAATCTTCATTACGTATTTTGATTATAGTTGAATACATATTGATACATCATAGTATATGTTTTATAAGTGCATATATATGCGTAAAAACGCCGAAAATCAATATCTGATACTTGTATATTTATTGTTAATATATAAGATTAATCAACGTTTACTTATTAACATATACGATGAGTAGTAAACAATCAAAAAAAAAATTCTTTGAAGGTTCGAACAAATAAATAATTCGAAAAATCATTCGATATATTTTTCTTTGTTATAAGAATATGACTAAGAAATTTGTAATAATATTTGATGAATAATTTCAACTGTCTCAGTGAAAACACCGATAACAATATCTCAATCTGTAACATTCAATAATAATAATTGTCAAAAAAAAGATATAATTGAACGTCTTATAACAATATTATGAAATTCGTACATAATTAGCAAATTGTATTATGAACTTATTATTGTGTGCAATCATTCAGGTTCAATGAATATGCCTATTTATCGAACAACAACAACAACAACAATGTCGACAAGTTGTGCATGATATAATTAATATTTATGCTGTATTTGGTTCAAATAATATTGATATTTACTTTTTAAAGTATAAATAGATCAATTAAGAAAAAAAAATCTCTCGAAATATAAGTTAATATTTTACTTGACTATCAATGTTGAAAATCGGCGATATAAAAAAAAAGTATGTAAATTATTTAAGAAACCACCTGATGGTCTCATACTAATGCACCTGTTGCGCATTCAATTTTTCAAGCTAAAAGTATTGATAGAACAGCTAAAGAAAACATTCTTATTGTAACTATAACAGATGAGTAAGAAAGAAAAGTATAGTTTTGATGTCGTCGTATATTTTTTGATATAAATGTTCCAACAAATTCTTGTAGTGAATTAGGAAAAGTAATATGTCATGAACAAACATTTGTTACATTTCTTACTTGTACTGACAGAATCAGAAGCTTTTGATTATTTTAAATAATCGAGGTCATGTTGATATTGACAATATTTTCTGTTTAAAATTAATTTAAATTCGATAAAAACAAGAAGAAAATATTATATTTTCTTAAGAAAACTATCTGATTATAATTATTTTTTCTTAAAAATATTGTTCTATTTTTATTTTTATGTTGATAATATGGATATGTTGAATGAATAAATTATGATAATCAAATTAAATTCAACACATTTCATTTAAATTTTGAAAAAACAAATAAACTATTAACAAAAATATCGTTTTCTGATTTTGCTGGTTCTATTTGTCAAATTTGATTTATTAATTGACATATTTATAATGATAAACTATTGTTACGATATTGATGACACATATTTCATATAAAGTTGCTTTTGATTTTCTTTAATACAAACTATACTAAAATCTCATGAGTTAACTGTTGTTGATATGGACAAATGGTATTAAGCATAAAACATGTTGTGATAGTGATAATATTATGTTAGTTGCCGTGATATTAAACTAATTGTATTGGTAAACTAGCAGAAAAGTGAGAGAAATGCATTTCGAATAAAGAAAGAATGCAATTGACCATATATGTTAATTGAATTATAATAAATCGAGAACGCGAGAAAACGATCAATAGATGATATTAACAAAATAATGTTCGAAATCTTTGACAATTGAATTGTTATAGATCTGAATGAAGTTTTCTTTCATTCATTTTTTTTCTTTTTATTTTCTTTTCATCAATATAGAACAACTGTTAATATTTTTATACGGACTGTATGAGATTATGTGTCATATTTTATTCTCGTCTTTCTTTTGTTTTTATTTTTTTTGAATGATTAATTGCTATGTGTAAGCATTTGTTAACATGAGAAAATTTTTTTCTTTTGTTTGGATGATTAATTAAGAAAAAAAACAAAATGATCCTTGTTCAAGTGCAAAATTTCAGGAAAACAGCTTATTAGTTATTCTAGGTTTTTTTTCCTTCGTTTTTTTTTTCTGTTCTGTTTCTATTAAGTCTTAGACTAGTTCTCTATTTATAACTCATCAGGTTGGATAAATAGAGTGGAAAAAAAGACTTAAACGAACAAGGATGATATAATAAAGAAAAAAATGTCTATATATGTATGAGTGCTCATTTCATGTCATAAACGAAGAAATAGATAATCATGCTTATAACTCTAAGGCAAAAAACAAAGAAATTAAAGTATGAGAGAGATTGACTAAGTAAAGAATAAAATAGGAAAAAGAAAGTCAATAGTCTTGCATTATGAGTTTCGATTAATTATTGACAATTTGTATAAGTCTATCATGCAAAACAAGTTTTATTTTTCGGCTTTTTTTTTTCTTTCAATGGTTCATTATGCCCGGCGTACTATATGCATATATAGAAAGGAAGAAGTTCACAGGCAGAGAAAAGTTTTTTTTTCTCTTTTATTTTTTTTTTTTTTAGTATTTTAGCATTCGCTACTTCATGACAAACATCGACATAGTCGTTGTTGCTGTTGTTATTCGAACAACGAGAAGAAGAACAAGAAGAAGAAGGCGCCGATGATGAAAGAGAAAGAGAAGAAGAAGGAGGAGAAGAAAGGCTGCACAGTCAGCGACCTGTTCGATTATTTTGTCACTTCTCTTTCTATCTATTGCACGGTTTTGTGGCCTAACTGAGACTACGAGTGTTCACAATATCTCGTATTTTTTCTTAACAAAATTTAGTTTACAATAGTAGTATTACCACTTCTACACTTCCTTTTCATGCCTAATAATAATGTATACGCTCGAATTATTAATAGATATTATATCACGACATAGGCGTTTGAATTTTCAATATACACTGGTAAGAATTTACGTACATTTTAATCATTAATTATTTAGTTTTAATGAATAAATATATGTAATAGACGTCATATATTTGAAAAAGTTTTTCTTTTTTCTTTTTTTTCTTTTGAATTTAAAAATTAATTGACACATAATTTATCAATATTAAATGTTGCTTTTTTTTTCTAAGTATTCTTTTCAATACTGTCGTCAAATGCATACTTCTCTTTCATCACTGAGGACCCATTACGTCGTGTCTGACGACAAATGAAACTAGTAGTAGGAGCTGTTATGTGTTACTATGCTATACTGAGTTTAATCTAATGTGGCTAACTACTATACAAAATTTGTAGTTCATCTTCTTTTCTTGTTCTTCAATGTCGTATTTGTTCTTATTAGAACATCCGCACACGCGATAAGACACTCACTTGTGCACAACAATACGCTGACACGATTTGTTCAGTCTCGTGCGAATTAGGCATCTTTTTTTTGTGTAAGGAAAAACAATGTGAATACGAAAGAAAAATGATAAAGATAGAATGAGGCTGTATTACACACACACATACATCTAGTTCTCTACTCATGTGACTAAAATGTGATCTATATGATGCATCGGATGTCTATTTCATGTGCGTGTTTGTATGCATATTTCTCATATTCAACTCCATTTTTCTGGTTTATATTTACACGTGAGAAAATAATCGTTGTCAATGATTGACCAATTTTCTAACGCATAAATATTAACAATTTCTGTAAAATTGATTTTTCTATAACACCTTTTTCCCACGTGTAAATGCTTTTGTTCTTATCGCTTTGTCTATCCTCTTTTTCTTGTTTTCAAGATCCAATCTTTGGCCTTTTTTTTTCTCTTTATTATTATTTCTTCTGTAGTTAGCTGAGAAAAACGAGACGTTTTTCGGCTTCTCACAACTAGCTCATAGTTAATAATTCATGTTTGGTCCTCAACTGCAACATAAAGTAACGATCGCGCAACAATGAACATCCGCATGTCATGCATATATATATAGATATATACATTTTTTTCTGTCTGTGTCATCTAATAACATCGTGCAAGACAAAGGACATAAAAAACGATAGAAAAGTTGCGAATAAAAGAATAAGCCGCTCTTCTTCTTTTTTTTGCCTTTTCCGTAAACAGTTGATCCAATCAGTTAGTGTTTCATTGTAAAAAAAATACATATATATATATATATATATATATATATATATATAGTTATATCATAAAATGAAGAAAAAACAATTAGGTAGTAGATACAGAAAGACTTGTAATGGTATTGATCTGTTGTTGCCACATAGCTTGTCGAATTTCTAGATTTATTATTATGATTATTGTTGTTGTTGCCACTTTTATTAGCATTAAAGACAGCAGTATGGTGCTTAATACTGCACACATCGTCTACACATGCACATATAACAAGACACACACACACAAACATACGTATTTATATAAGATAAACAGACAACGAAAAAAACAAGGCAAGCACAGAACGTCAACGAGCAAAGCAGTAAAAGTATCAAGGCTAATAATTCTAATCTGTGCACGGTATCAATGATACTTCACGCTGTCGTTTCATCGTCTCATACGATTTAGAGAAGCATCATAAGAGAACATCGGGGGAGGATGGGGAGAAAACTATTATAATCGGATGATCGAACGAGAGAATTTTTTTTTTAATCAAATTTTTGTTTTCTCTAAATAACAGACATCTGATTCTGATCTCTTCTACTTGTTCTTCTCTTTCCAAATAGTTATTACACGGCAATCGATTGTCGAAAATCGATAGTATATGCTCAATTAATTTTCTCTGTTCTTGGAAAAGATATGAATTTTTATATGATATTTCTTAAAATAGTTGTCATTGAATTCATAAGATAGACTTGCACATCATTAAATAGAAATCTATCGACTAGTTCTTCGACAGATAACTACAGTCGATCGATCATTTTACATTTCCTTTCTGATTTTCTTGACATCTTCGATACTAATAATATGTTAGACGTCGTAATTCATCTATGCAAATATATCTACAACTGTACATATGTCTAACAGATAAAAAAAAAAGGAAAAAGAAGCTACCTCAGTCCTACTGTCTGTCGCCTTCTATTTTTAGACAAAGCTGTATATACTTGATTATTTTATTGAACTGAATATAATGCAGCAAAAGTTAACATCCGATTGTAAAACTGACAATTGTTATTTACTATTATTGTCCTAAATCAATTTATTTTTCTCTCCCTTACTGTCTCCATATATATATATATATTTATATATATATTTGGAACAATGACATCAATTACAGCTTCATCTAAAGTTCTCATTGGCCATCCAACATTTAGTCGATCAATTGAATCTCATGGTAGTGCTCATTCAGCTGATACAAATTATAATGGATGGCGTGGTGAAGGAACAATTGGTAATGAAGATATTGGTACTCAAACAGATTACAGTGGTGGTGGAAGTACAACAAGTGGTGGACGAGCATTACTCGGTGATCTAAAACGAAGAAAAGAAGATGCAATTGTAGATATTAGTCTGGAATCAATGAAGTATAATGGAGGTAAATATAAATTTAGAGATTTTATTTTATTATATTCTATTAATATAAGAGAAAACTTACTAATTCTTATTGAAAAATAATATTTAGCTTTCAAAACGATTGAGTTCTATTCTCAAGGGATGAAAAGCAAGTTTTATTTTTCTAATATAAGATCATCGATGAGTTTGTCAACTAATTATAAATGACATATCTAGCTAAATTTCATTGCTATTAGTAGAAATATCTATTTATGTGTTGAGTTTTTGAAGAGATAAAAAGAGATGGAGAGAGAGAGAGGGAGAGAGAAAGATTGGAGCAAAAAAAAAAGATGGATAATTGATCGACATTCTTTCTCGTTTTTCTTTTCCTCGTATATATATAGATATTTTTTTTCCTTTCTTTCTTTCTTTGACTATTTCTCATTTCTAGCTATCCCATTTCGTCAATTACAACGACCCGATCGTTTACCACGACAAAGTTCGCGTCAAAGCGAATGTGACGGTTCGTTGCTTGGTGATTTCATGTCGAATACATCTCAGCCAGGATTATCAACAACTTATACTTCAAATGTCGATAAAAAACTACTTATGTCATCATCGGCAAGTGCCGCTAATTCAAATGATTTAACATCGATTGCTGTTAGTGTTCCTAGTCAATCAACAAATCATCATAGAAATAATAATAATGTTGATGATATATCTCGTCAGACACTTATACAAAGTCGTTCAGGTGAATCAAAACGTGTCGAACGAACATCACGTAAAGAATGTTATCGTTTGGGAAGACGAAAATTACTTTTTGAAAAACGTCGTAAAGCATCTGATTATGCTCTATTCTTTGCCATGATTGGTCTTTTATTAATGGTGCTTGAACAAGAATTAACAATGGCTAAAGTTTATGACAAGGTAAACAACAAACTAGACAAAGTTATGATTTTTCTCGTTTTTTTTTCTTTTTTTATTGTATAAATAATGATTGCAGTAGAAAAAACGTCAACAGAAACAAAACATTGTATTGTATTTATTAAAGAGATTAGTAAAGTGGCTCGTTAGTGAATACATTCAAGTGATCTTAAAAACAATAGTTGAATTCTTTTTCTTCCGTTTAATCGACATTTATGGGAACAAAAAAAATTCTTTTTTGTTCTCTTCTCTTTTTTATAGATCTCTATCTTTAACATGTATTTGTCTACATCTGTTATTCATTTTCTGCACCTGAATGAGTTTTACCAGATGAGAAAATTTCTATATTTTCTTTTCTTTGTATGCTAAGTAAAGCTTTTACTATAGCAACATCATTTTCATGAGTAAAAAATGAAAAAGCGTAAAAGACATGAGTGAACAAAACAAAAAAAAAAGATTTCTATCTAATGCGAATAAATGTAACTTTAAAAGATCTTCTTTAATGATTTGTTATGTTGGAAATAACTGACGAGAAACAGAAAGAAAAAAGCATTAATGTCTTATGGTTATTTTCTTTAGATACTCTTCGACTTTTTTTTCTCTTTTGCTTCTCTCTGACATGCTCAATGGTCTGCACTTTCTTTTCTTTGCTCGGTTTTTCTTTTCGACAGTGACTATTGAAGGCATTCATATAATGAACGTGATCTTTACAAGATAGTAGTGTCTATTCATGTTGATGATGTCAATATAAGAAAAAAAGACGGTTTTTTAATGATAACATAGACAACAATAATAAGAAAAATTGGTTTATGCTATTAATGAACAAAAAAAAAAAGAAAAAAAAACCAACGAATGAAATAGAATTTGAATTTACATATGATTAACTCAAAGAAAATCTTTCGTATAAAATACTATTCTAGAAAATAAAAATGACAACAAAAGAGAAAGACTTTTTGTAAAACAAAAAAAAAACTAAAGAAGGAAATCATTGAAAACTAATTACGATTTATTTTTAGAACAACTGGTGCTCATGGCTTCTCAAATCATTCATAACTTTATCCACATTAATTTTACTTACTATGATTATTTTCTATCATGCACTTGAAGTTAAAGTAAATAAAAGCAAAAGTTCAATAGAATTTAAATTAATATTATTATTATTATTATATTTTCTTTATTAGTTATTTATGATTGACAATTGTTTGGATGATTGGAGAATTGCAATGACATGGCAACGTGTTTTACAAATTGGGGCTGAAGTATCAAGTAAAATATTGATTGCTTTTTATTGAGTGTTATAAATAATAAATTCTTTTTATGTCATTTTGAAGTTTGTGCAATTCATCCAATACCTGGTTCAATAACATTTGACTGGACAACACATATGTCAAATAAAGCTGATTATCATTCACAAATAAAAACAGCACGTGTTTATATTGATATATTACTTTCATTACCCATGTTCTTTCGACTTTATTTAATATGTCGTGTTATGCTTTTGCATAGCAAGTTATTTACAGGTTTGTTTTATTTATTTATTTATTTATTTATTTAGTATTATTGTTATTATTATTATGTATCTATTTGTTAGATGCTTCATCAAGAAGTATTGGAGCTTTTAATCGAATTAAATTTAATACAAGATTTGTATTAAAAACATTAATGACTATTTGTCCTGGAACAGTTCTACTTGTTTTTATTCTTTCACTTTTTATTATTGCTAGTTGGACATTAAGAGCATGTGAAAGGTATGTAGAATTTATTTATTTTTGTAATATATATATAAATATTTGGTTTATATTCTCTTAGTAATCATGATCCAAAACATCATGGAAATCTTCTTAATTCAATGTGGTTAATTGCTGTAACATTTCTAGCTATCGGCTATGGAGATATTGTACCGAACACGTATTGTGGTCGAGCTATTTGTGTTGTATCCGGTTTAATGGTTAGTATTTGATATTTACCTTGAATTTTATGCTTCTCTGTTGTTTATATAAATAATATAATGAGATATCGAAAGACTTGAAAAAAAAACCCAGTCCTATCTACTATTCTTATGCTAATCTAATAACAAACTTTCAAATTAGTTTATTGTGTCAAAACTGTTGAAAATGTTAATGGGAACTTATTATTCATCATTAATAAATCTGACATAAAAGAACAACATTTTTTAACCTTGATGATTTATATATTAAATAAAGGTATTCTAAAATATTGAAGTCACATCTAACTGTAAAATTCTCTTGTTGTGCTAATTTGAGAAAATGTTTTAATATCATGTGAGACCAATTGATAATCAACTTTTTTTTTAAAATTCTGGTAACCTTCAAGGACAAGAGTAAACAAAATTTCAAATAACAATAACAATATCTTTAATAGTGTTGATTGTTTCTTTTTTTATATAGAAAAAAAAATTGAATCTAATTTACTTAGAACTAATCAAAAGTTCTAAGAATAATAAATCAAATTGTGAAATCAAAGAGATATTCTTAGTTTTATTTTATTAGGATGTATGGATATGGACGTGTGGGATGTGAGTAGTTGGATGTAGGCAGGCTTTGTCGGCTCGTCGCTACTCATATCCACCCACGTCCTAACAAAATAAAACTAAAAATATCTCTTTGATTTCATAAATTTATTTATTATTCTTAGAAATTTTGGTTTGTCTTAAGTATAACATATAATTATTTTGATATTTTTATTTTTAGGGTGTATCTTGTACAGCAACAATGGTTGCTGTACTTGCACGTAAACTTGAATTAACACGTGCAGAAAAACATGTCCATAATTTTATGATGGATACACAATTAACAAAAAGAGTATGTGTTCGAGAAAAAAAAGTCATAGAAAAAAAAATTGAAATATGAATTTTGTTTTTTTTTAAGTTAAAAAATGCTGCAGCTAATGTTTTACGTGAAACATGGCTGATTTACAAATATACAAAACTTGTGAAGTTTGTTAATACGTCAAAAGTACGGACACATCAAAGAAAATTTCTTCAAGCAATTCATAGGTAATGATTATTTTTTTCTTGTGTTTGACGCTTTAAAATAATATTATTGGCTTTTTTTTTGAATAGTCTTCGAAAAGTCAAATTAGATCAAAGAAAATTAACAGATAATGTTAATGCCGTATCGGATATTGCTCGAGTAAGAAGATATATTTATAATTTGTTTTTGGTAATGAATTTGAATTCTTTTCTTTTTTAAATAGCTTCAATCGTCAGTGTATGATATTGTTTCTCAAATGTTGTCTAATCAAACAGTTCTTGAAACGAAATTTCATGATTTAGATACAAGAGTAATGGCTTTACAGGTATTATTATATTTATAAATTTAATTATTGAAAAATACAAGGTATTAATGTTCATTTAAAAAAAAGAAGGTGGGAGACAGATTTTTTTTAATAATTTTTGATAGAAATAAGATAGAGAGCTGCGGTTCTCACCCTTAGAAAAAGGAAATAAAGATGCATCAAATCGTATATTACAAATTTTTTGACCTGGTTTTTTTTGACGTTTTCAATCAACCTTATTGAAAACCAACGTATCCTGTGAGTTGACTACAGGGAATTTTCAATTATCAGATGTGCGTCAGAACCGCCAATAAAAGATCTACAAAACTATGCAAGTCTCAAATTTTTAAATTTAGTTACTAAAGAGTCATAGATACTCTAGTCCAAATTCCTGATCAATTTTTCGAGACATTGCTCTGAAAAAATCACATTTTTGCTCTTTGTCTCTTGTTAGAAAGAATATAGTAATTAAAAACTGAAACTTTCCTATAGAGGAAAATCGATGTTTTTTCTTTTAATTGAAAACTGTCTTTCACAATATGTAATGGTTTTTGTTAATTAATAATAACTATATCAAATGAAAATCTAAAGATATTGTTCGATATTGTATTTAAATTAAAAGTGAGTTTTCAACTATGACAGGCCAAAAAAAGTATTGGTTGGATTTCGATGAAAGATAAAATATAACACCAGAGTTTTATAAAAATTTAAACTGAAAGATTTTGAATATCTTCGGTATGATTCTGTCAGATTGATAATTAACTGAATAGTAATTTTAGTCTTAAGCATTCAGAAATAGATTCATCTTATTTCTGATTGATAATTAAAACTAACAATCAGGAGTGTCCGGAAGTCGCTAGGATTACGGGAGTCGTTGGTTTAGAAGGCTGATTGGAAGATTTTTGAAGGTCGAGCAGTTTTTTTGAGAATCGGTGAGCAAAACACGAATAAAACGCCGGCGAAAAACAAAAATATTTCAAGATTGGAGAGTGATCTCCTGAGAACCTCTCCACTCGGACACTTCTGCCCAACAACCTTTTTTTTTATTTGATTAGTTCATTTTTTATTATATTTGTAAAAACTAGAGATACTTTATCAAAGAAAAATCATAAAATATTGTCCAAAAACAAGCTCTAATCGATTCAATTCTTTTCTTTACTATTTTGAATTGCTTCCTTTCAGAATATTAGTCATATTGTCTTTTTGGTTACGAGAAAAATCTTCTAACTGATCATTCATTTTTGAGTCGGAAGTATGTGCATCATTTAGACTCTAATAAACGATGAATATTCTAAAAAGAGTTCAGATTCTTAGCTTATTACTGCAAAGATATTGCATTTATTTAAAGTAAATGCTGTAGTCCCGTCTTAGGAACTTTAGGATAGCCGATATTCGAATTTCGATCTGAAACATTGCATAGAGATAAACTTCAACAAGAATAGTTTATTATGAAAGTTTCATGTCTTTTGATTTGTTCATGTCCTCAAATCGGAACATTGAACCTATTGGTGTATTATAAGTGATATAAAAGATATGTTTTTCCTATAGCCATATCTTAGAATAAAAATAATGAAAAGGTCTGAAACTTCCACAATAAACTATTCTTATTAGGATCTATCTCTATGCAAAGTTTCAAATCGAAACTCAAAAATCAGTTTTCCTAAGGGGGACCGCAAAATTGAATTAAATAAAATTCTATAAACATCCAGTATCTCCATGGGAATAAGAGAACGGTGGGAACTCTTATTCCTTTATTAGTCATACTTTTTTTCTAGTTGAAAAATTATAAAATACGAAAAATTCCATTGATATATTTTAGTCTCAAATTGAAAATTTACCTAATTTAATGGCAACAACTATTAATGAACAAAATAATCGTTTATGGGAACGTCTAGAATCTCATGTTCAAACACAATTAAATTCAATGCGACAGCCATTACCTCTCATATCTGTGACTTGTCCTCAACGACAAAATACCGTGTGATTATTTATTAAAATGACCAAATAATCTTTCTTAAAAAACAAAAAAAAGAAACCAAATCTTGATCATTATTTTTTTTCTGTTTCCTTTTTTTTTCTTGACACCTGGTGCTTTCTTGAGAAAATTCTATAACAGATTTATTTATTTGTTTTTTTTTTCCTTCGAAATTAATGCTAACAGTTATTGATTATAACACAATCAACTGCTCAACATCCCAGACAAAAGAAAATATAAATTACAATCGAGACAGAGCAAAATAAAACGAAAAACAACAACAACAATAACACAAACACACAATAAATTTTTATTTGAAAATATGTATATATTATATAAATATATAAAACAGTTAAATTTTTAATATATCTATATATTTTGTTTTGGCTTTTTTTTCATCAGTGTTGTTTGTTCTTATGAATTGATGTTGTTCTATTTTTGTATCATAAATAATAACAAACGTGAAATAAGTTCATAGAACACACAAAGAATTATATATATTCACAATGAAAACTCTAGAGTTTGATAAGTATTCAATCATAGAAGAACTAAATTAGTATTAATAGATGTGACCAAAGTTCTACATTACTTATGTTTAAAATATAGTGTTGTAATACAATATTGTAAAAATTTGATGTTTTGGTTATTTTTTTGTCAGAAAGAACAAGATATCTAATGCAAAAATATATTAAAGAGTTTGATCGTAAATGTTTTGTAAAGGCGAAAAAATTTTTAGAATAAAACGATATTGAGAAACTCGACCGCAAGTTTTGATCACCATTTTTTATTGTTATCGACTTTCGATATTTTTCAGTAATTCATATATATAGATGTTCATTACAACGAAGGCTTTTGTGCGATATTAAGATAATTAGTCCAGCACATAAGAGACTGAACGTCGGATAGTTTAATTAGCTAGAAGACATTCGAGTTTCGTTCGATTACAAAATGCGATGATCGTCCGAGATATTTACATATTACGGCAAAGAGTTTCTTTCGTATTGCTATTATCGGAAACTCGAATTATCTACGTTTCAATTAATCAAGTGGTCAAAGTAACTATAAAAAGAATGGTAAAGCAGACATGGCAAAATTCATTATTATGAAAACTCGACCAACGTGTATCAAGATGTTTCTGGAGAACGCTGTAGATTTATTATTTAATCAAATACGATGTGAAGCACAGCATTTATGTAGTCGGTCGTATACGCATTCGGTCTCCATACTTTGAGTGTTTTTTGCTGTAGCAAAATCTGTATTTTGTGTCACGATGTTCTAGAGAACGACGAGTAGCTAGAAATTCGTTCGAACTATATCAGTTGATGATTTTACCTCCATCTTTTACTCGTAATAATTAAAAGTGGTGAGTTAGTCTCTAGTCAACTGTTGTGAACAGAAGAAATAATGAAAACTTTCGACAGAACAAGATCGACTTTAGGTGAAATCGTTTTTCGTTCTTATGTTAATTGAAACTTCATTACCAAGAATTAAGATCGCTTCGCACTGCATTTATGTAGTCTTTTACAAATTTTTTTCTTTTACTTGCCACACATACGCATGGAAAATTGTTATTCCCTGTTGCGATGATCTGGAGAACGGAGGAGAGTCAGAAAACACGCAGATAGACGATCTATATTGGCTTATTTAAGCATCTAAGAAGATAAAAATTATTTTAAGAACGTGGATTTGTAGGACTCTTTCCCTGTACTACATGCTTATGACTATTTGAATTCAAAATATATTATATATCTTAAGCTCTTTACGTTTGATACACTATAAATAGCAAAAGTATAAAAAGCTTATTGCAGTCCTAGCAACAGAATGAATATGTATCGCACTAAACAAGAATGTATCAAACGAACCTTAACATATCGTGTTGTTCTAAACTTCATCCTCTATCTACAGAGGACTACGATAAGCTTTTTACTCCTGATATTCATAGTGTAAGAAAGATATATAATTTGTTTTGATTTTAAATATAAGAGTTTCCTATGGAAAAGATTCCTTATGAAACGACATTGTTAAAACAACTTTTACCTTCTTCAATACGTAAACAAGACAGTAGAAGAACGTCTAACTATGTTTGATGTATAAATAGGAGACGAGTGAAACAACTTTTCAATCTAAAATTTCTATTAAAATTGAATATCTAACAAAATTTGTACTGCTCTTGCTAATGATGTATTAAACAATAAAATTAGGTGAATATTATGGAAATTACGTAGAACCCAAGTTGCTCTATTGAATCATGTATTATAACGAAAATTTCAAGGTAGACAGACGCGCAACAGTATACAAAATGAATAGTTGAATACTTTTGAAAGAATGGAAAACATTATGCTGCAATTGTATCGTTAATAAAAACTAAAGGGATCAATGGATTCATCTGAAATATAAAATTATCTACTGGTTGAATCATGTCAATATCTACTACGTAGACTGATAGTTCAAACAGTGCTCCATAACTCTATAATATTTAACTATTCTTCACTGGGTTTGATAATATAAGAATATTGATCAAAGCTGTTCACCTCTGAGTTAGATAAATAAGGAAAAATTTCGATTCTACAATCAATCCCATGCTATACTATGTATTTAAGGGAGAGTTATTCATAATAAAATATATTTTGTTTTCGGCGTTTACCTCTTACAATAGTTCAATGATGATATTGAATAGATTCGTGAAAGTCAAAAAAGACGTTGAAGATAAACTAGCTGTAATCTTGATAAGTTTACGATATTATCATTAATAAGGCAATGGATCTGTTCGAACTTTTCGGATGTTGCTTGATGACAAATACGCCTAATCGTGTTCAGTCTTAAACATCTTCTCGATTTTCACAAACTCATTCATATCATTTTTTAACTCTTCTAAGAGATGGAAACTGGTTACCGACAATAAAAAACTTTCCAGCACAAACTTAAATGCACAAGTGAAAGTTTTCTTTATGCAAAAACATCGGAAGTGAACAACACATTCACATCTTTAAGTCCTTATTTTCATTTATGTCGATCTTCACCTCTTTGCCTAACATCAATGCAAAAACTATATGATTTTCATTATGAAGAATCTCATTCAACATCATCATCATCATCATCACATCAACAAATCTAAAATATTATCTCCTAATCATTATGATACTCAACCAAAACTGATTTCACCCACATCCATTCATCATCAAACAATAATTATTTATTCATGTCTGCAAAATAAAGAATATCAATATCATATTGTTTGCCTTGTTGTTCTCGTCAATCAATAACTAGTAAATCTTCTCTATGTGAACTACACATGTCCAAAAGTATTCCTTCAAATGAAAGAATGATCTGTCGACAATATACAATTCTTACATCATTAAAATGTCATCCTTCACAAACACTAACTAGTTCTAACTCATCATTATCTATTAATTGACAATAACGTTGATTTGAAGAATCAACTTCATATCTATAAAAATGAAAAAAAAACTTTTGCTCTCAATTATCTATTCCTCCTTCTTATTTTCAAAATTTTTTCCTGAATAAAATGAAAAATAAAGCAAATATTAATCGTTCAATAGATTTAATGAATCTGATCATCATTGTATACCTTGTTTTAGTTTTGATTAAGTATTATTTTACATCACAACAATTTATGATACATGTTGATGATGAATAAATGACAAATATAATATTATTAAATATAACATCTATACAATTATTGACGTCAGAAAAAATGAACCGAATATAAAGTTCCATTGTAAGTTAGAAATATTAACTTGATCGATTGATAAATAATTTATAAAAGTTATTTTTTAAAATTTAACTAGATTTTCTTCATTTATTCCATTATACAAAAAGTTAAAAGAAAATAAAGATAATTATTAGATATGATATATCCTTCAATGACAGTTTTACTATTATTTTATCATTGTTTGTCAAAAGGATCCGATTTTGTCGTATAATTAGATAGTTTTATACTATTGTATGACTCATATTGTATATTTCGAAGAAAAATATACTGAGTGTAAACTTTAAGTCGAAGTTTTGCTGCTCTCCCATCTTTTCGTAGCAAGGAGAATGAGAATGACTTGGGTGCGTTTCCAGAGCAACGGAAAAAAGATGTAAAACTTAGACTGTTCTAACATATTTCAAAGATTCCCTTGAAATTTAAATGGTTCAAATACACTTCTCAATATTTTAGAAGTTTTTACACAGATAAACGATTATATCAGGAATATCAAGAGCGATAATTAGTGATGTATTGATTTGTTATAGTTGTCATTTAATTAACATAAAAAAAGCTTAAACTGATCAAGTTCTAACGTTTGAAAATAATCACTATAAATATTTCGAAGTTTATCAAGCTACATAATAGGGTATTAATAAAAGTAATAATAATAATCGAATAGAAAATAAATAAAGAACCAATAGGGACAAGTCAAATAAAAACTAGTGCGCTAGGAAAAAAAGAAAAAAATTCTGTTCGAAACACCGAAATAAATACGACAAAAATGTTTCTCTAATAATCAATTACCCATTGAAAACAATTATCATTTGTGAGCAATTCTCCAGCTGTTGTGTTTTGTATATTTCTTCTACTTGCTCCATCGCCACTTATTAGTCCTAGAAGTACATTAATGGCAAAATGAGATTCCATTACTATTAGTTGGAGATCATGTAAAAATGATAATGGAAGTGAACTTATTGGTTATGTTGTTGAAAAATATGATGCTTCAAGAAATGTTTGACAACGTATTAGATATAATGATCCATGTACATTTATACGAATACTAGGTTCACTGAAGATGTTGGAATCATTTTCATCTATATGCAGAGAATTGTGTTGAAATGTTGCCACCATTAGCAACAATTGATTTGATTATTGCTAAAAGGTCATATACACATCCAGATATACCAGAAGGATGACCATTATTAACAAGAATTGTTTCATCGAATTCCATTGAATATTCATGACAACCACCATTAAGTGATGATAGCACAACATCAAGACCAATGTAAGTTAAAGT